AGGACCCTATTTGCGACCATTCTACTGGGCCATTGTCCCTTTTGTGAAGAAACAAAGTCTTTGACCTTATATGTCTTCTTGTGCAACTGTTTAAATCACAGATAAGGAAACCAAGGCTCAGAGAGGCCAGGCGACTTCTATTAAGTCACTCAGCTCAGTGGTAGTAGCGCCGAGCACGTCAGAAGCAGGTAAATGTTTCATGACCAAGTCTCTGAAAATAACGTTTAAGAACAAAGTTGGAGGACTGACGTTTCCCAACTCCACGACTTACTGTAAACTGCAGTAATCAAGACAGTGACCACGAAAGAACAAAGAGATGAAAGAAACACGACAGAGACCAGAAACAGACAGATATATATGTCCAATTGCTGTTTGACGAAGAAGCGAAGACAATAAAATGTGTCAAAGATTTTTTTTTTAACAAACAGCACCTGGAACAACTGGATAATCACATGCAGGAGAGAAAAAAATTCTAAACACAGACCTTACACCCTTTATGAAAGTTAACTCCAAATGGCGCATAGCCTTAAATGAAAATCAAAACCAAAAAACTCCTAGAAGACAACACGGAGGAATCCTAGATAACTTTAGGCCTGGTGACGACTTCGTAGATGTAACACCAAAGAGACTATCCATAAAAGAAATGATTGGTAAGCTGGACTTCATTACAACAAAAACTGCTCTGTGAAAGAATATGCCAAGAGAATTAGGAGACAAACCTCAGGCTGGGAGAAAATATTTTCAAAAGACACATCCGCTAAAGGACTATAATCCAAAATCTACAAAGAATTCTCAAAATTCGACAATAAGAAAACGTGCGCCCTGTTTAAAAAAATGGGTCAAAGATCTTAATGGATGGCAAATAAGCACATGAAAAGACACTCCTCATCACCCGTCATCAGGGAAATGCTAGTAAAACAAGCAGCTACCACCCCAGACCTACGAGAAGGGCCAAACAGAAAGCCCTGGCAACTGCAAGTGCAGACAGTGTGTGGGGCAACAGGAACTCTCAGCTCCCCGATTATCCTCTTGTCACAATGGATATAGACGCAGCACACTTTTAAATTTCATTTGCTATATTGACTCTCCATCACTATCTCTGTCTAGACAAGCAGCAAAATACTAAATCAAACCCTGATTTGTACTATCTGCCAGTTTCCATGGTGTAAATAAATATTTCCACGATGGCAACTTCAAGCTACCAACAGGATCTTTGAAGCATGGTGTTGGGAAGAAATGCCCTTTCCCAGTATTTGCAGTATAGACACAGTATCAGTAAACAACTTCGACAGCCAGGATAACAGTAAAATGTAGTGGGATAATTAGGCAGTCACAGTTTTGAGCATGTGTTACCTTTTTTTGTGCTATAGCTCCAGTGTACATTGATATATAGTTTACTTCCAAATAATGACTGTGTTCAACGACTGCATTGCAAAACCACCTGAAAATGTAACAACCAGCCTTTGGTGTTACAAGCTGCTCCAGACACACAGAAAGTCTCGCGATACTTGCTTCTTCTCTGGGAGGTTTCTCTTTAACTTCCCAGCCCCTCTAAGGTTAAAAAATTCGTCATGGTTTCACCCTGATAATTTTCAGAGGTAATGGTCAGACTGGGTCCAGCAGAATCTACAGCTCTGTGGGGCTCACCTCGGCACATTACCTCCCAAGAAGCAATAAACTTGGCAGCCGGAAGGAAATCTATCGCGTCTCAGACGGGAAGAGCCAATGAGGACACTGGTGGGAGGCTGCTAGTTACACACTTGGCCGCCAGGTGGCGCGCGTGCCGGCCTCGTCCCAGTGAAACTGCTTTATTCAATTTCAAGATGGGAAAGACCTGGAAGGAGAAATATTTGAGTCTCCTTGTGTGACAGACATGCAACTTTCCATATAACTTGAGAATGTGCATTTCTTCATAAGGGGAAATTGCTATATTCCCGCTAATTTCCCACTCCACAACAACTAGAAACAGTGGGTGTGCAATAGAGACCACGCCCTTGAAGTGCCTTTGGCCATGCATTTCACGTGCGAGCGTCCGCCAGGTGAGTAACCACCCCTCCCTTTCCCAGATGAGAAAGTCCAGCCGTTCTGCAGTCCATCCGTTCATTTCACGAGCATTAACTGAGCACCTGCTCTGATTCTGCCCATAGGAAGCAGCAGCAGCAAGATTCAAATTCAAGAAATTCAACTCCGATCTTAATCCTCTTCTGTTGTCCCAAATGCCTGAGATGGTATCACTTTACTTAAAAAGCCCCCTCAAAAAAAAAAAAAAACTGGCTGTATTTTACCTGGATTCCCTTCAAAGCTGTAAGGCAATATGACCCACTGATTCCCCTGTGTGGCCCGGTTTTCTTACCAGTGGAGTCCCTGCAGTTCATCGCTAACTCTTAGTTTGTAGGATTTCAGTTACCTAAGTGACAAATAAGAGAAAGAGAAGCTCAATGGCGTAAACTACTTCGAGGAGGCACGTTTGGCGGAGCTGAAACCTCAGGGGCACTGCTGTTGCTGATGGTGTCGTGCGCAGATTTGTAAGGGAGAGGAGGACTGGGTGATGGCAGGGAAAACTTTGCGTTGCAATGAAGACACAACACTCTGGCCTGTGTGTCCAAAAGATGAACGGTGGCTGAGTCCTTACATAGCCTGTGAGACCCCTGTGGTCAGGGCACCCCCACCTCTGAGGTCAACCCCCAACCCCACCCTTCACTTCTACCACCAGCTCCCCTCCCTCACCAACTCCCCTCCCCCACAGGCACTCACCTCACTTCAGGGCCCTTGCGCTTACTGTTCCCTCTGCCAGGAATCCTCTCGCCCAAATAGACCCTCACCTGGTTTGCTCCCTCACAGTCCTCTGGCCTCTGTGCTCCTCACCCATCCCGGAGGCCTCCTGGGGTCTGCCTAAAAGACAGCAGCCCCAGCCTGCTCTCTCCCTCTCCAGGCCCCGGGGTCTCCCGCATCCTGCTTCACCTTTGTAGCATCACCTGTCCTCAGGTGCTTTCGTTTGTTTGTTCTCTATCTCTTGCCACTGAAATGTAGGTTATGTGGGAAGAGCATTAATAATAATAATAATATTACATTCCCCAACAACTGCATCAGTATATGCATCGAATATGAACCCATGCCAGACACAAGCTCAATAACAAATCAGTGAGTGAAAGGAAGGCAGACACCCTTCCCTCAGCTCCCAGTCCCTGAAGCAAACGAGACAGGTGTCCTGAGATGACAAATGGGATGTTCCTGTCGGATTCCGGACACTCGGTCTCCCTGTTGATTTTTTGCCAGTGAATTGAATTGACCCCCCATCGATGTAGCAGCAGCTATGAAAAAAGTCCTCCTGGAAAGCTAGCGTCTAGTCCAGCGGGAAACTCACCACCATGAGCCACCAGGGAGCTCCCCTGGTTGCTCGGTTGCTCCAAAGGGGACGCCAAACCCCAAGAAAACAAGGGCAAGTTAATTCTACATTTTCTAATTTTGTGCCTTAAGAAAACATCATGGGGTGTAAGCTTTTTGGTAATATCATTAAAATAGCCAAAGATCCAAATTAACTATGTTGCTGCTATTGCTGAAATACGTGCTAGGTCATATTTTTGTTTTTATGATGTCAAGAACATGTATGACTCCTGTTTATCTCATGCAGAGAAGTCTATTGTAGTTATTTAAGACATTTTTCCAAAACAAAAACAAAACAGGGAGAATGTAGATTTTGTTCAATGAGGAAGTTCTTTTAGATCTGGAAGACCCCAGACCAGCATGCATTGCATCTCGCTGGGTTGGGTTAAATAGGGTTGGATGGTGCTGTTTTGGCAGCTGAGTCTTCACCCAAACGAAATCTTAAGAGGAGACCCAATGGGAAGTAGATAGAGTGGGGACCCCCCAATGGCATGGGTGATGAGCCAGAAGTGGCCCCCAGCTGCCTGGGCTTCTCAGGAGTCCCCAGGGTGCGCCCAGGGGGTCTGTAGAGCACAGCTAAAGCCCACTGTCTCACAAGCAAGGAGGCAAGGCCGCCCAGGCCGTCCTGGGTTGAGGCATGAACCTCATATAACAGGAGACACTCGCTGTCTCCAAACAACACCACGTCACCTCCATGTTCACGGAGAAGTGAACACCACCTCCTCCAGGAAGCTTTTCTGATGCCCCAGACAAATTTAGGTCCCCCATATCTTCCATCAATTCCACCCTTTGCTCCTTACAATTCCCATCACATTTTAAACAACGTTTCCAGTGCCTGTCCACCCACTTCCGTGTCCAAGTCGCAGCCACAGGAGCCGGGCCTTTCCCCTTCCGCCTTACATTGGCCTGGAAACAGAACTGTGACCGCCTTGAGAGGAAGGATTGACCTATTTGTCTTTTCACTCCCCGCACCTGGTAGGTACTAGGCTTAGCTCAGAGTAGCAGCTCAATAATTGTCTTTGAGTTGAGTTGAGTTATGGAAATAAAACTCCCTAAAAGGCAGGAAGACCTTTCCCGGCCCGCACTCGGGCTTCAAGGGTTGGGTGGTCTTCAGCAACTGTCCCACCTAGTTTGTCCTTAGTTGCGTTGTCCATAAAATAAAACACTTACATTCTGAGGTCTTTAAAACCCTTCTTTCTAGAAAATTCTACGATGCAATACTCCCTTGTTCAGAAATGTCCAGTGAAGGTGTTAGGCCAGAACTTGAATTAATGAGATTACTATATATAAAAGAATGTTAACTCTAACCGAGAACTAGTGGTTAAGACAGGATGCGAAATCTTGTCCTACCACTTACTAACTGTAGGGGTCACTAGAAGCAAGATGCTTGCCCATGCCTCGGTTTCCTCATCAGCCGCAGACAGGTGAGGACTGAGTGAAGTTACATAACTAAAGTATTTAGCTTGGTGCTGGGTACCTAATTAGATATCAAAAAATGTTCATTTATATATTTTTACCAAGATTATTCACATGGGAATGGTTTCCATTTAAATAGGTATAAAAATAGCTTGATGATATTTTCTGTCGACTCACTACTGGTCCCTCTTATGTTTTAGGAGACAAACCCACCAAGAGAAACAAGGTAAGAAGAGCCCCTAAAACACATCTGTTACCCTGCCCTTAGTTTATTGGCTTAGGATGTGCCCACCGTGAAGATATCACTTGAACATTATATCCTGGAATTGAGTTGGGATCTATAATTTTCGTTTGGAAATCAACCAACTCTCAGCAAATTTAACAGTAAGTTTAATTTCTGACTCTCTTTCTTTTTGCAGATCCCTCCACCACCTCCTCGGTAAGACACTGAAAACAGTGGGGTTTTTTTCTGCTATACACTAAATTATAACTTCCAGAACTTGAAAAGCTCCAGAATTTAAAAAGGGGAAACACAGAAGTTTGACATGGAAAAATTAACATGAGTTGGCCAACAACCAGGATGAAACAAGCCTTCACTCACCACGTACTCGCTCCTTCACTCACGGCCGTCTGCTCAGCGGGCCCTTCCCCCACCGCTGCTCCCCATCCCTTCCTGTGCTCCCCCCCTTCTCCTGGTCCAGAAACCCGCCCAATGGGACTGGACCTGGGAAATGCCTTCAAGGGACTCAGGCCATATCAGCACACAGTCAAACCAGCACAGATAGTATCACTTTCGCACACAGATATGGAGGCGAGAGAGACAGACGGTCTCTTCGGCTTTGAGGGGCAGCCACATTTGTTCCCCCTGGGCCCAGTGGGCGCCTGGATCGTTACCCTGGCCGGGAATCTGCTCATCACTCTGCTCTCTGCCCTCCTAGAGGGAAGTGTCCGGGCCAGCAACCGAGCCTTCTTCCTCCCTGCAATCCCAGCCCCTGCCGACAGTGCCCTATACACTTGACAATGAGCGACTGAGGAAGGAGTGGGTGAGGCGGTCATCAACTGTCAAACATCTCCCCACTTCTCTGGGGAGTTTCAACAACTCAGATCCTCCAGTCTGTGGTAAAGGGGAGGCTACCATGGTACTATGTCCCTGGGCCTCCTACCGCTTGAGCCGGTGGTGGCCTGAAGAACCTAAGACACCTTGTAGAACATTCCATCAGAAAACAGAACCAAACCAAAGAGCAGGGGGGCAGGAAGGCAGAGTTGGGACTGCCCTCGTGCCCGCACCCGTCTGAGTCAGGCCGAGCTATGGAGTCTGGACGCCCAGAAACTGACACTCCCGCCCGACGCCAGGGCCTCTGAGGGCCGGGCTGTCCGAGGGGCCGCCCGTGCAACACAGCGTCTCAGCTCCCCCCTTGACCCTCCACGCAGGCTGCCCGTGCTCCCTCCGAAGAAGTACCAGCCCCTGCCACCCGAGCCCGAGAGCGGCAGGTCGCCCCTGCCTCAGAGGCACACCTTCCCCGAAGTCCAGAGAGGGCCCAGGTGAGAGATGGGCCATGGGGGGTGGCCAGGGAGACGGGTGGGCCGGGGAGGGTGACCAGGACCACCCAACCAAGAGTCACTGCTCACAACAGACTCCTTAACAGGGTGGCGGTGGGGGAGAGCTTAGAAACTTGCAGTTTCATTCTTTAACAGAAAACACAGCTTTATTTTTTTTGGGGGGGGAGGGGGTAATGATATGAGTTGTTGAAAGAATGGCTCACTTGAGACCTGAATTAGTTATTAGAGAAAATGTTAAATAGCAGAGCAGCATTGGAACCTTTTATGTAAAAACAAAAGGTGGTTCGGGCTACTCAGGGGCCAGTATCGGTCCCCGCTCCCCATCACCCAGGCTGGACGAATACAACCGCATGTGAAAACCGTTTGTCAAAAGCATCCTTACCTCGGTGACTAACAAGCATCACCAAACCAGCCCTACGGTGTTAGGTGCTGATGAGGGACGCTCACCTGCCAGCGTTCGGGGCACTTGGCAGCCATCTCCAACCACAAAACGTGGCAAACCGGAATGGGCATATTTTTCCCCCAAATAGCTCGAATGTCCAAAATTCCCTTATTCTAGGAGTTGGAGCAGAGATTAGCGTTTCCCTCGTGTTCCTGCCCAGAGCGAGTGATGCTTCCTTGCTGCCGGCCAGAACCAGCAGGTTGGGGCGCCGGGCGTCATTCATGAGTGGGCATTTCTCAGGGGCACAGTCATTCAGAATATCAGGCCCACTTGGAGCTTCCATGGAAAACCCACTTATCACTGGTTCTGATGGGGGCTGTTAAAGCCCCTAAAATGTCATCTCTCCTCTTAATTTTGTGGAGGGTCTCTTCACCTGTTCATCCTTCACAGCTTCACACAGACGAACCTCTTCCAGGCCACAAGGCGCGTCCCTCCCCCGGGGCCGTTTCCTGCCGGCTCCGTGCCCTGCTCCGTGGGCCCAGGGTGTGGGCAGGGGGAAGAGTGACCCCCCGGGCCAAAGTTTAGGTTCCCCTGCCTACCAGCTGGCAGACTGGGGGACTTCTACTAGAGCGACTATCTCCAAAGGAGTTAGCAGTGTCTGGGGACGGGACATTCCGGTTGTGACAACGTGGGTGCTTTGGGCACCCAGTGGGCAGAAGGCCAGGGATGCTGCTGGGCCTCCCACCGCACACGGGTGGGCCCCACAGCAAGGCCTAATGCCACTGGCGAGGCTCATAGTACGAGGCTGAGAAACTCCACCTTCGGGCAGAGGCCTACCCTTCTCCAGGCCAAGGCTTTGCTCCCCAGGGAGGTGGGGACGCCGCTGTCGCCACCACCACCTGCCTCCTGGGCTCACGTGCCAACAAAGCGATTCCTGACAGGCCCTTAACGCACGTGTTTAGAGCCACCGCTGAGTGCACTGCCGTCACCGTGCGCCCTTTTGTCCGGGTGCCTCTGCCTTCTCACGGTATGTGCTTGGCTCCACGCCCATCTCTCCCAGCCCGCACGAGGGCCCGCTCAGCCCGGTGCATGTTCCCTGCCCTGCACAGAGCACGCAGCTCATAGACATGTATTTCCTTCTGCCGCTTCCAAAGGGCCTGAGGCAGACGAGGAGTCGTCAGCTGGGCTCCGTTTGGTTTCTGTTCTCAGAGACAGACCAGGAGGCAGCAGCAACAGGAGGCCTCAAATCCGTGAAGTGTGTCATCCCAATCGGAAATGTGAGATGTAGCGCCCCTAACTCTCCCAAGCAAGTAGGCTAAGATGGCCCAGCTGGAACCCAGAGAGGCGGGGAGACAGAGATGGGAGGAATAAAACCCCAAAGGCGATGAGCTTGGTTAGTGTGGAGAAGAGAGAGAGGGTGGTACCATGTTTTGTCATGTATAATGCACATGTTTTTGCCCAAATTATTGAGGGAAAATAAGGATGTGCATTATACAAGGGCAGTACTAATTCCATACTTGTATAAATTTTTTTTATTTTTTTATTTATGCTTATGCATTAAAAATGTAACTCTAGAAAGCAGTAATGATGTCTGTATGCAAAATAACACCCTGGAATACGATAATCAGCTTTATATGTAAGTTAAAAATTGAATTAAAAAATTTAAATGAAAGGTCTTGCCCCCCGAACGCTTGGGCTAAAAAAAAAGTTGCGCGTTATACATGGCAAAATTAGTACCTTCTTTGGGGTGAGGGGTTTCCCTGCTGGGGACACACCAGGCATTGGGACCCAGAGGGTGCCGGTCTGGATCCCGGTCCGGATCCCGGTCCAGCCCCTTCCCGCGGGAAGATTTCAGGAAGCTCTGAAACGGCTCTGAGAACTGCTTCCCCTAACTGTACAAAGAAAATAGCCACCCCACGTGACAGAATGTGGTGGAGAGGGACGTGATTTTTCTGAAGTGTGGAGGACAGTGTCTGTAGCACACAGGGAAGAAGAAAAACACTTAAACAGCATCTCCTGCCGTCCCCAACAGAATTAGGCCCCCAGAATCCTATTTTCCTGAAAACACAGCCTAGATTTATTTTTTAATTTTACTTACTCATTTTTAGAAAGGAGAAGGGAGAGAGAGAAACATCAGTGTGTGGTTGCCTCTCAAGCGCCCCCTACTGGGGAACTGGCCCATAACCCAGGCATGTGTCCCAACTGGGAATTGAACCAGCGACCCTCTAGTCTACAGGTTGGTGCTCAATCCACTGAGCCACACCAACCAGGGCCAGAGCCTAGATATTCTAGTGCAAAATTTCTCATCCTGGCTTCACATTAAATTGATCAGGAAAGCCTTTTGAAAAGTACTATTCCCCAGTATCAGCTTTAATTGCTCCCAGAGATGAGACCCAGGTGTCCCTGTTTTTTTAAACCTCCCTCAGGTGAACCTGATGGGCAGCCAGAGTCAAGCAGGCCCCTTGGGACACTCCTGCCTGCACCCCAACTTCTAGTGTCTGCCAGAGCACTCCCTTGAACTCCGCCGAGCGAGCCCCACTCCTGTCTGGTCTCACCGTTGGCGGGGCAGCCCACTGGTGGCGTCAGAATCATTAGAGGCTTGCATCTGGCATCACGAGTGTTTCTGCCGTTCTAGCTGGCACGGGTTCACTCCGTTTCAGGCGTGGTAGCAATGGGGCCAGGTCTCTCCGTCGCAGATGCCCCCAGAGGGCAATGACATTTCGTCTCATGGAACCCTCCCAGTGGCTGGAAAAGCACGGTTCTCTAAGGATCTGAAGGGCAAAGGGCCTGGCCCCATGGGGGGCACACAGTAGGTGCCTGGTCAAACATCTCTCCTCTACCCACTGTGCTCGCACACACTCGGGCTCAGCCAGACTCGGAGAAGCCAGGTGACCAGGTAAAGTGCCAGGGCTGGTCTGTGACTAGTGAGCAGGCAAAAATGTGAGGGGCCCTGTGAGGGACCCTGGGAATGACACCACACACAAGAAAGGGCTGGGCCTCCTGTGGGTCATCAGGTAGCCATCACTGGGGATTCTGGTCCCCAGGAGGTGGCTGCCGGGTTCACTTTCTCTGAACAGAAGGGACACAGGCGATGGAGCTACTTCCACCAAAGCGGGAGGAAGAGCCCGGCTCCTTCCTAACAGCGGCTCCAGGCCCCAGAGGTGACTTGCCCCGCCCCTCCCTGTCCCCCAGAACAGGAGGCTGTGATTTACGTCTGGCAATCCCCCAGTCAGAGGCCGGCAGTGGGCAGCTGGGGCCTCCACAATGGGCTCTCCTCCCAGGGATGTCGGCGGGGCTCCAGCTATTGTGTTCTGCTCGCCATTCTCTCCTGCAAAGCTGAGTGGCGGGTTCCCAGAACAATTGCTGCAGGGAAGCCCTTCAGATAAGGAAATGCCATTGAAATCATTCCCTGAAGACTTGAAACTAGAAGCGAACTTTGAAGTGGGGGGATGGTCAGCTACACGTTCTCCACCATTGCAGCCCATTGTCACCACTTGTACAATATCCATGTACTTAATGCTTTTTGCTCAGCTCCTTTTTTTTTTTTTACTGAAGTAAATTAATGTAAAAAGGAAACATATTGCCATTAGTTAACAGCCACACAGACAATTTCAGACCAAAACTGAGCCTGGGGAGTTTTCTCTCTGCTCACAGGGACGTCCCTGTGTGGGAGGGTGTGGGCTGCATGAACTGTCACACGAGACTGTCCCGGACATGATGAGAAAGGGAGTGACCGTCTAACTAGTCTCCATTGTCATTTCAAGACCACGGCACGTGCACCAAACTGAACCATCCTGACAATCGCAGAGTAAAGGGCATTTGCCGAGCTCTCGGGCTGACTTCAGAGTCTTTGGGGTGCGTCAACTGCGTCCCAGTCCCCAGCTTACCGAGACGGACACAAGAAAGGCGCAGACGTCACAGAGCCACGGTGCCTCCTTTCTGCTTCCACAGACTCAGTGGCCCACAGCGCAGGTTCTGCTACAGGATAATTTCGATGAAGTACCTGATTTTAACAAGCAAAACACCCCCTTGCCCAACCATGGGCTTCCCTTTTCAACCAGCCACACGGGCACGTGTCAGTCACAGCAATTTCAGTGGCCAAAAAAAAAAGTACCTTTTGATGATTTGAGAAGTGAAAAAAATGAATATAGATTTCAGGAAACCATGGGCCTTTAAAAGAGAGAATCTATAGATTATGAAGATAAGCACATTTTTATTTACGAATGGGACCAATGCACTGGTTTTAGAGTGTGAACTTTATTGTTATGAGAGTTTTGCACAATGTCACCAGGGAAGGACACTCGGCGTCTCTCTGATCTGCCATTTCTTGCAACAGCCTGAGACCTACGCTTATCTCGGCAGAAAAAGTTTAATTCAAAAAGAAGTTTGACTGTTAACAGCATTCTGCAGATATCAGGTGGTCTTTTATTTCAAGTGACTCCCATACGTACTCTTCGTGAGAATGTTAATCAACTTTCTTTGTACCGTCTGGATTCACCCATTTCACAGAGGGGAAAACGAGGCCTCAGAGAGGAGGTTTTGCTTGGCCAGGGTGACGCAGCTCATGGACAGCAGAGCGCGGATCCGGACCTAATCAATCTAAAACAGAACCGAAAACTAAGGGAGGTTCGAGAAAGGCTATTTTTATAGTAAGAAGTGTTGTAGGCAACAGATGAGTCAATGCACGCTCTCGGAGACGAAGATAGGTTTCAAAGATCTCTAATTTTATTGATTACAAAATAATAGTCTAATTATAAATTTGGTGGCCAAGCTTTACCTGCGCAGGGGCGAACTTCCCCAGATGTGAACTGAGTCACATTAGCCTTAAAGCTACAGATGAAGTCGCGCGTGGCTCACAGACTACGGGGTTCTTATAGGGCAGAGCAAGCGAATGCGGGGTTACAGAAGCAGATGTGGCAGTTAGCTATTAGCCAGGTTGCTAAGTTAAAAAAACGAAAGTCTCTAATTGGTGGTTGGGAGCTGGGGGTCTCATCCGCGGGCCTTGGTCAGTTACCTTATTTGGCTAGGAATTTTAACCCAGCCATTCCCTGACATTTATTTATTACCCAGTCTCAGGAACTGCAGATGCCTAACGGCTGTTTGTATGTTTCTACTACTAATGGCTAGTAAGAAGTACTGTCCTCCGGGACACTCTGAGCGCCCGCTACACATGGGAAGAATGTGGCAAAGCTTATTCCACACAGTTGATGACCACATTTTATTAGCTGTCTCCAGCCGCAAAATGTGGCAAACAGGAGTGAAAGATGCTCCGGAGAGGCCAGGCGGCACTGTGGGGGAGAGAGCAGACCTTGCTCCTCCCTCTGAGACTGTGGCTCTGTCTCATGAATCTACTTTAAGAGAGAGCCCAGCCCCCGAAGCCAGGCGCCTTTGTTCTAACCAGGTGGGGAGCAACCAACTTGGGAGTCTGGTCAACTCGGGCACTTCGATGTCCAGGGACGGCTGTTGGTCACTGCAGGGATCTCTTGCAATTACTGGGGTTTTCGCTTAACAATCCAATATTTAAAGTAACCGGTTCCAAAGCCTCGCTTTCCTGAAGCCTCCAACTCCATCTATCAAGTGGTTGCTCTGTGTGTAAATCCAGTGATTTTTACTTAAACCCAGGAACCAACACCCTGCTGGAAGCCTTAGAGAGTTTAAGGAATCTTAAGGAATAAGACTCATTGACAAACAAAGGGAGCGAAATCTCCTTAAGTACTTCTGCTGCTGTGCCGGCAGGTTGAAACCCTGACGAGCAAACTTTAACAATTAATTTTTATAAATCTAATACAGTCCATGTATAAATATAAAAAATTCAAGTTCTCATAAACTGCTCAGACATTTCACAGATGGAGTCAAATGTAGGTTGACTCTTGAAACTTCAAATCACACAACTAAAAGCAATTATACACTTGAACTTGAAGCCACATGGCTGAGCTGTCAGAGATTAGCCTGTTTAACTCAAAAGCAATCCGTACGTTGGGTATTTGTTCTACTTTATGACTTCTAATCCTATTTATTTTGTCTTCTCATCGGCCCCATTAAAAGGGAGAGGTGGGGTGTTGCTGTAACTCTCTTCCAGGAGCTGATGAACCAGGTTAAAAACTGTGGGGCCCCAGAATGGACGCTTTGAGGTCAGAGACCAGGACAGGGCCTCGGAGTGCGGGGCACTTCTGAGATTATCTCATCTGCTACAGACAAACTTTAGAACACAGGCCAACACCCTCCACTGAGGGGGTGTCTCAGCCTCAGCCCCCTGGGGCTTCCTCAGGCCCAGCCTTTCCACCCACAGACCAGGGTGAACCAAGTGCACCCACCTCCGTTCCCAGCCGAGCCTCCTTTGCTGACGTGGAGCACGTCCTGGTCACAGAGCCCTCTGAGGGTCCAACACGTCCGTTTTTATCTCCACCAAGGCTCGCAGTGACCCTCTGCAGACGGACACCCTCACAGCCATTTTGCAGATGAGAAAAATGAGGGTGAGGACTGGTCATTGACTTGTCGACACCAACGGAAGGCTCGGAGTTTCTTCTGAGACTGGTCCAATGTCCCCATTAGCAGACCCCGGACTGGACCGTTCCCCTCCCGTTCAGTTTCATGGTTTTCCCATCTCCAGGCTCCATTTGTTACCAGCACCCTCTCTCTCACACTTGCTTCCTGGGGTCCCACCATCCCTGACAATTTCATGTTTAAAACCCTTTACACGTCCTCAGAGCCAAAAACTAAGAGCTTTAGAATCAAGGCAATAGCAGGTCTGACAGTGTGAATGAAACCTGGCACAGAAAACCAAGTGTCGGGGGGAATGGTCACGTTACCGAAATTCTCCTAAAACAAGAAGCCAGTTCATTCATGCCCTTTCTGCCACCACCTTTCCTATTGGCTCGTCACTGCTTCTTTTGCTTAGAAAATTACGAGAAAAATAACCTGACTTTAGTTCTACACAACAGTGATAAAGATCGCACTGGACGGTGGGCGGCTGCTCTGGCAATAAAATGTAATCAGAGGTTTGTAAGGGCTCAGAATGATTTTATTTTGATGGTTATGAACTGCTCTTTATGTGACACTGTGTTTCTTTTCCCTGCAGACAGATAAGCTTAAAGAACTTAAGTGAGGTAAGTAGCAACATTGTCCTCGGAAAAAAGGGGGATTTTTGTGCATTAAGTGTCTGCAACGGGCAAGATACCATTGGCTTTAAATGTTCTACTACATTTAGTCAGCGTAACAGCCATGCTGTGTGTTTAAAACAGGGATAACAGCTATTACTCTCCCTGTTTTAAAGGTGGGAAAACTAAAACAAAACAAGTTAAGATCCAGCTTTTAAAACAAGATCCTACTCGCCACCACATTCAGAGTTTAGGGGACAGTGACGAGAGGAACAGGCCTAGTTCCCGTGGAAGCCTTAGGGTCTCCACCCATGGCCTCCGGGCTCTGCATCACAGAAATAAGATGTTGGAAACTGTATTACACGTTGCCGTGTGTCCTTCACAAGAAAGGGCTACAAGTGGAAGATGCACAAGACACAGTCACACAGACTTGGGCTTGAAACCTGTTCTGCCGCCTTCTGTGACCTTGGGCAAATGTCCCCACCCCCACTCCACCGCCCCCAACCCTATTTCTGTTTTCCTGTCCATAAAAGAGAGATCAGTGCACCCAACTTAGCAAAGCTGTGGTAAAGTCAAAGTAAGCAGGTAAACGACCAGGGGGGCTGTAGAGGCTCAATAAACAGTGCGACAGTCAGCAAAGATGGAGCTGTCATGGGGTCCCCTTGGATGTTTGCGTCCATAAGTCCCCGAAGAGGAGGTTCCTTAACAGGCCGGTGGTAAGTGCAGTGCGACTGATGGAAGTCTCCGTACAGCGACAGGAGCGTCCTCACGTCCCTCCCCCTAGCCTCCTGAGGGACTTGGTTCTTGTCTTAATATGGGCCGATGCTCTCATATCTAGACCGCAGGGGTCAGCTTTTTTTCCTTCCTTCCTTGCGTCCTTATTTCTTTCTTTATTGGCATTAGAAGAACATTAAAATCAAGTCACATTTCCAGCGTGTGACTCCAACGAGAGATTTATTCCCTGTAATCTGTAAGATAATCAAGTCGAGGGGAACGACGAAAGAGCTGCTGAAGGAGAGGCCGGCCCTGGTTCTACTCCTGACTTCATCCACTCGCCCTCTTCTGGGACTGAGCTTCCAGGTGCTACCAGGAAGGAGGGAGTCAGGGGTGGTACCCACACCCCAGAGGGACTCCACCCCTTTCTTCCTCTGAGTCGCATTTGTGTGTCCCGAGCAGCAAATGGCTGCCACTCACAGTGACCTACATAACTTGTTGGCCCGTCTAAAAAGACAACAGGCCCCAGTCGAGAACAAACCAGGACGTGAAAAGTCGGCCTTGGAGAGCAGGAGGGCGTTCTCCTTGCAACATCGGTTGACATTTTGCTAGACGCTGATATCATCTAAAGAACAGCACTGCCTGGAAGAAAAACACATTCTTCCACCTTGTCTGCCTCATCTTGTGCCAAGATATTTCCCCCTTGTTTGTGTGGGGCCAGCATCTGGGTCCTTTCTTCCTCGCTGAAGCTTATTTCATAGGACAAATGTCATGCTTGTGTGTATGTGTGGGATCAGAATCTTGGGGGCCAGAAATGATGGGTACCCACCCCAACTCAGATACATACAGCACTTTTTGGGTTTCAAATGAAGAAGAGGCGCATGGTCTCATCTAATTCTCATAAAATCCTAAGAGAAAAAGAAGCCCCAGCGAGGTGGAGAGACTTGGGGGAGCCCCCACAGCTGGCAGGAGCCAAGCCCAGGGTTCTCCCAACCTGAGACTGCACTAGGAAACGTAGATACCTGTGAGCTAAAATGGAAAAAAAAAAAAGGAAGAGGGAGAAGGAGAGCTTGAATGTTTACTTTGAATATGTTTATTTTCTAACAATGACAACAAAAAGTTAACAGAAATTTCACCCCACCCTCTAATCTCATTAAATTTAATCTTGGGCCCTCCAGCTAACTGTAACTGGGTCTCAATTAGATAAAACATCTGTGCCCCCGGGCTCCTAGGAAGGCAATGCTCCCAGCTCAGCACCCCTCTCCTTTGACAAGCCCGAGAACCACAGCTGCATCTGATTGAGCACTTTGAACTGCCAGGTTCAAAGTCCTGGGGAAGACTCAATGGGAGACTTGCAAACCGCTCATTAGAATGGATTCATTGCCCTTTTTACTTAGCCTCTAGATTGGCCTGGATTTGCTGTTCCTGATGAAATGCGTGTCCCCTTTCCAGAGCCCAGGGCCGCAGGGGTCTTTGAAACAAAAGAGCTGTTCTGTGGGCCAGTGCGCCTCTGTGAGCTGTTTGTTGCTGAAGGTTCCTTGTCTGTGAAGCAAATGGGAGTTAGGAGACCAGGCTCCCAGGTCAGCTCAGCCACAAGGAAATGGGGGCTCTGGGTCCACGGCCCCGCTCTCCGAGCCTCCTCTGCAGACCCTGGCTTTGACTTCTCGTGGACCTCAGCCCCTTTTGAAAATGTGATGAAAGGTGTAAGAAACCTAACCCTCAGCGGTGGGAGGGAGGGGAGTGTGCACCTTTGTGGAGGAAAGAAAATAGTTTTTCATTTCAGAAGGTTCACGGACCCCACAGGCCACAGACGGACATCTTCCATCCCCCAGGTTAGGACTCTCTTGTCTGAATTGTCGCTGCAGACAAGAGCTCCTCCCCAGCAGCAGGACACAGGCTGCAGGAGTCTTTGCTCTAACACTGCGCCTCTTGTGAGGCTTTTGGCTTCGCCTCTTGTGAGACAAGAGGAGAGCAGAGCCCAGGGATGCAATCCACGAAGCACGTAGATTTTCAGTACAAAGCATGATCGGGAATTCCACTACCGCTAAGGGAAGAAAGAGAAAGCAAATGTTTCGGAAGATAAATGGCTACATTTAAAAAGAATAATGGGAATATGTTCATGCGTAGTTTTTAAATATAAAGAAAACGATAGCCTCAGCTCTTAGTCACTTAAACACAATCTCTATTACTATTTTGTCATGTCTCTTCAAATCCTTTTATACACACACACACACACACACACACACACACACACACCGTACATGGAATATGCCATGAGTCCAGCTTTCATTCTGGACTTTTTACGTAACGTTGAGGCCTACTTAGAGTACAGTCTAGTTCCACGCTCTGCATAGATGAGTGACTAATTAACAGTCCCCACTTAGAAGGGCACATAAATCGTGTCCAGGGCTCTGACACTTGGACAGACGACCGACGTGCTGAACATCTCCGGACGTGGAACTGGGTCGGATTTTAGGTCGTTTTCTTAGGAAACAGAGTCTGATCAATGGAACTACTGGGGTACAAATAATAGTATTTCTAAGGCTCTCGACAGCTATGGTGACAGTGTTCTCTGAAGAGTCAAACAATTTACGGTCCCATCAGCAGACTGTGCCTGCCTGTGACATCACGCAGAGTGTAAAACTGATTTTTGTCTAATATAGGCCAATGCTGCTTCTTATCTTTGGAGTCTCTGGCCTCCACCGAGTCTTTGGAATAATATTTGTAGATTTTTTAAATCTGCATACTAACAAAAATTTTGCCCAATTCTACTAACCAATTGCTCTAAAATCACATAGTGTGAAGTTTTGTATCGCCAAGACTCATTCGACATCTTTTTTTTTTTTTTTCATTTAATACAGGTCCTTGGAACAGAGAAAGGTAAACTGTCTACCTTTGTTTTCATGTCCTAATATGGTCAGGTTAAGTTCTGTTTCCACGTTAGTCCTCTGTTAAAATGATCGGTCGTTTCAGGGCCTGGGATGTATGAGTATGTGTGTGTATCAGCATGGGGGTGGGGGGTGAGGGGTGGGGTGACATGATCCAGGGCTTCACAGCCTGGCTGTTCAAGAACCCCCTGGTCCAAACAGTGTGGTTCAAGTTGGGGCCAGGCTCCTGGTCTTTCTGCAGCCATGGGCCACTGACAAGGAGGCACAAGGTTGCCCCCTGGCCCTGGGGTCACCCCCAGAGAAGCTCTTGGTCTCCCCATCTTTGATGTCACCTGTACACACACACACTCCCTCACTATCTGGCAGGATGCTGACTAGGCAATGACTTCCTGTCCACCTTAGAAACACTGTTCACATTCATTTGGAACCATGACTGATACCCAGAGTCAAGGGCCCGAGCCTTGGCCCAAAGGGTGAACATGGGCAGCTTGTCAACCAAGCCACAGGGGCCTCCACCGACGCACAGTGCTTTTGCCCCAACAGGGCTCTGCGCTCTTCTTCACACTGAGGACATTAGACTGGGGCGAAGCCTAATCTGGGTTTGCAGGTTCCCTCGGCCCCTGACAGAGGAGTGGGCATCTGCTGGCAATCTCAAAATATGCAAACCCTAAAGGAAGCCAGAGCTCAGCACCCTCACTGATACCTTCAGGCGTTGCTGCCCCGGGCTACAGTGATTGTCGTTGCAACGGGATGACGTCCTTCAGCTCACAAGGGGCACATGCTCTGGGTGGCTGTTGACATGAGACACTTTTATACCATGTGTGACTTGTGGACTAGGCGCTAACTCCACGTGTCAGGTGATTACAGCCCCTCAATCAGTGGGGTCCATTCGGTGCTCAGCCTTAGAGCACAGAGTAACAATCAGACTGACACACACAGGTGTCTCCGTGCTTCCTTAGCTTCCTTCCTTTCAGCTGGAAGCTTCAGTACCTCCAGCTGAAACTGAGAGCGCCTTATGGGACATCTTATCACGGTCGTGCTGTGTGCCCGGGGTAACTCTGGATGGCAGGTTGAAGTCTGTTCACAATGGGAAGGAAGTGAAAAGTGGTAGCAGCGGTGGCTTATGCAATTACTAAGTAACTCCAGTGCGTGTGGTTGGCAAAACTTATCAGAACTTGAAGATCAAAGGGGAAATTCTGAGACATGTGTGCCTGGGACACCAGACGGGAACTGCTGGTCCACCTTGGACTCCCAGGGGCCCTCCCGCCCTGTCTCAGTAGGGTATGAGGATTCGGGTGTGGGGGCAGCTCTGGGCATTTCTGTGCCCTGCGCTGCTCAGAACTGCTCTTGGATTTAACATTTTGTTTATGTTCCTACAAAGTTTCCATTTGAATACAGAATTCCAGTTCAGTTCTCGTCCACACCGAACACCTCCAACGTAATGTTCTGTATTTTGGGGAGTTCAACGATGAGTTCCAGATTCAATATTCTCAATAACAGTATTGAAATTTCAATATTCAAAGCACTTTTAATAGCATCAAGGAGAAGCCACTCCCAGAAGCCTGGGTTGGTGTAGAACACGTGGGTTACCATCTCCGCTGACTACCTGCCACCCGCTCCCAATCATCAGAGATTGTGGGGCAGAATCACAGCAGTTCCTGCAGGCCTCTGAGGGTCTCGAGTCATTTTCCTTTTGCATCCTGACCACATTTTGTGACTTCTTTATCCAGTGCCTTATCACCAGATGAAGCCTCAAGCATCTCACCTGTCACAAAATCAGAGCTCTCCAGAGGTCCCTCACGCCATCCCCAGGTAAGGAGCCCGGAGCCCCAGCCGGGTCTCAGCTGGGGGCATTGGGCCACGTGTCGTACGGGGTAGTGACTCACCAAGGTTCCTCAGAAATGAGAGGGAAGTCTTTGGCCTGTGATAAGGAAGCCTAGAACTACAGTATTATTGAAGCTGGTAGTGACACTCTTCCTGGACCTTGTACTTGACTGAGTGAGGCTGGGGAAGGGGGAGAGATTCCAAGACCTACATATTAACTCAGTCGAACCAAATGGAACTGATGCTGAGTGTCTGGGAAGAAAAGCTGGCCTTTCTAACCAGATTCCGTTGATAACCCCATGGAAGCTTAAAGTTACTTCTGAATTTCACTTTATAGATGGCCAGGGCCTAAACGTACCGTTATCTGATGAAATACTTTCCTAACCAGGTTATTGTAGCAACTGTCATCTCAACTACAAAGTCGAGGAAGCTATGGCTTGGCTGCAAACTGCTGTAAATTAGTGCTGGCTTCCTTCAAACCACTTCCAGGGCCCCCAAAATTAGTGCTGTGAGGCACTCATGACCCCAGTCTGACCACTGGCCTCAGCCTCAGTTTGTGCCATTCACCCATGTTCCCACTCGCCACTGTCACCTACTGCAGGACATTTGTACCCGCTAGTTCTCTGCCTGCCACACTTGCCCCCGCAGCTCCCCCGTTCCACTCTCTTTGCACTGGGAAAGCTTCTCTGCACCCATCAGACCCCAGCATAAAGCCACAGAATCCACTCCCCAGAGGGAATAAATGAGGCCCTTCCCACTGAGGTCAAGTCCAAGTTCACACTGCATCAGCATGCAATGTCTATCCTGACTTGGTTCTAAAAAGGCAGCCCATGAGTCCTGACTTTCCCAGATACCTGCCTGCCCAGGGTAAAGATGCTTTCATCTGTCTCTAATAAACAGTCATGGAGCATACCCCTCTGTGGTGCACAGTAGTGGATAGGAGGGACTTACTGGGATCTGACTGCCCAGCTTCAGCATTAGCCAGCCACAAGACAATGGGCAACATCCCTCATCTCCCATGGGCAGCTGAGCAGAGCCAGGCCTGTGGCAGGAGCCCAGGACACATGAGCACTCATCGCCATGGCCCGCCCTGTCCACCGGGGTGTTATCCCCTCCTGCACTTTACTGCCCTGCCCGGCTTCACACCTTCAGTAGCTTGGCCTGTGGGTATCAGGACTTCATGATTCTTGTGAGGCTTTTTCCCATTTAAGTCTCACTCTGACACAAAATTCTTGCCCAGAGCACAACAGCATAGCCTTTCATAATGTAATTTTTTCAATGGAAAGCAAAAATCACCATATCGCTGTGGAAAGATAATGAGCTCGCAGCCACGCCCGCATGCGCACAAACAGTTGTCTGGTGCGGTTGGGCTTCTTTTGTTTAATTTACTGAGCAAAGTCTCCCGATTTTCCTTCCTCTATTAACTGGCTGCTTTTTCTCAGCCCCCTTTTGGGACTTTTTCCCAAGCTGGCCTGTACATGGCGGTGTTCCGCAGGGTCCGTTGGGGTCTGGTTTTCTCTCTGAGGCGGTGTCACACGTCTGACAGAGCTGAACGTCAGCCCTGTGCTGAGATGCAGGGATGATCTCTGCACCCCCGTCTTCGCAGCGGGCACTGTCTTAGCTCCGTGCCTGATGGGCAGCTCTTCTTACAGAGATGACAGGCATCTTGAACAATGTTGATACTGAACTCCTCATTTCTCCTTTCCTCCCCAAGCCAACACCACCCCCTGCAAACCTTCCAATGCTGGTAAATGCCGCCTTCTCTTTCCCACCTTCACTCTCCCTGTCCCATCCGTTTCCGCCTCCCCAAATTCTGTCTCCAAAACAAGTCTTAGTCTCCTGCTTCTCCTCATGGACCCAGGTCCCAGGCTGGGCCAGCCACCATCAGTCTCGCCTGGACAGTTAAGCAGCCATTTACTGTAATGACACTAATCATCTGCACGCTTTCCCTCCTTCCTTTCTATCCAGAAGGAACTACTCTCTGGTTGGTTGCAGAAGAAGCCCTGCTCTCCTGCTTCCGAGCCTTTGCACCTGCTGTTCCCTCTGCCAGGAGCCCGCCTTCACTCATCACCCCTCTCCTATTCATCTTTCAGAAGTCATTAGCATGTCTCCCAGGAAGCCTTGCAAAGCTACTGTGTCTGGGTTAAGTGACCGTCTGCGCAGGCGCAGATCCCCCTGCCGTGCACTCGCCTGTGGTGGCGCACAGATTGCGTATGGAGGCGCGCCGGAAAAGTGGGACTGCTTCCGGGTTGCAAAGCAATTGTGTCTGGGTTAAGTGACCACAGCAGGCGCAGGAACGCCGGATGTGCCAACGCCTGTGGTGGCGCGCGAACCACGTTGCAGTAACGGCCAGCGTCTGCCCCCCGGAAAGGCGGGGCTGCTTCCGGGCGAGGTCACATCTCACTCATTTCATTTCCGGAAACCTCCCACGTGCCCCGGAAGTTCTCAATACACATTGGCAAAGTGAAAGCCACTTGTTTCGTTTTCATCTAGTTATTTTTTGCTTCAACCCTTACTAAAAACTCCTAAAATATTAAGGCAGGGACTTGTCGCTATAGAAGATTTCTTTTCCCCAGACCCTTCTCAAAACTGTATGCTGGCTTCCCGTAAAAAAATCCTGGTGTTAAGGGTCAAAGTCTGGGGCACCGAGGGGGGGTGGGCGGGGAGTCCGCCTGAGCAGGATTACAGCTCGGTGCAGTGGTTGGTTGGACAGAGCAGAGCAGACCTCAAGATCCCAGGCTCTGGGGAGACCGCAGACAGCGGACGTGCTCTTGGGTGAGGTCCGTGGTGGTAAAGCAGAGCCACATTCCATCTGACTCACCGGAGCCTTCGGTCCCTGGCCCAGCCCCTGGGGCAGAGCAGGACCCTTGTACTCAGATTTCGCTGCAGTAGCACCTGGCTCTCATGATGATGGTGCTGGCCACACTGCAAAGCGAACCAGAACATCAGAGCCAAGTGTTAAGTAAGGCTACCCATTAAGTAAAGTGCTAAGCGGAGCCCTTGGTAAAGTCTGGATAACACCATTATTATTGTGCTTAGAAGTGCGTATTGGATTTTCTATTGTCCTTTATTGTATGTGTTATACTCCCTTCCCCTTTATGGATTTCTTTACAATAATCCACACAGTAAAATAATTTACTCACATTATTTTACTGTGTGGATTAATCCAGCTCACATTTCAAGAAGGAATACGTTATTTTCTATCCTCTCCTTCAGTTGGTAACTAGTGATAATGGAAGAGAAGCCCCTCCCGGCCGCATGTTATTCTCTAGAGTCTCTCTGCAGCTCGAAGGCAGGTCCAAATCTGTGGCCTCTAAAAGTAAAGAAGTGTGACAAGCGCTCAGTGAAATGCCATGAAAGGAGCTGGGGTGGGTCCCTGTGTTCCGTGTCAAACGCTCCCCAGTCTTGGGAAAGGAGACAAGGGATCAACCTCCTCCTGCCTTACAGAGTTCTTCCAGCTCAGCCAGGAGAATGCAAAGTGCTTTACAAATGTAACTTAACCATAGACCCTTGGCATTGATTGCCCTTGCCTTTGAGTGTAACCAGATGCAGCCTGGGAAATACTCACTTCTTCCTCTCTGACACTTCCTTTAGCTCTTCATTCATGACGAGCAGCCACAGTACGCAAAACCGAGGTAAGAGCACATTACCCATGAATTGCAAAGCACACAGGTAAGTAAGCCCTCACCCCGCACTGTTCCTGTCCTATGACTCAGTTTTGTGAGCCTCACAGTCGCCAAGTTGATGTGTCTGCAGGCAATCGGCTTGTTCCCATTGACAGAGCGCATTCCACTGTGGTAACATAAGTTTTTACCCATGATTAAACAAGACCATTTAGATGGTTTCCATTTCTCCTCCCTTAGGAGCATTATAATGTTATGAATAATAATATTGGTGTCTTCTCACATGCACTAATACGTACATGTTTACCCATGTGCAAAGTGTAAATTCTCCCAGAGTAAAATGTATAGATCTTAGGATCTTGTAGGACGTGGATTTCCAAAGCAGGTATCCTCTGGTCTCACTAACAGTTCAGGGGTCTTTTGGGTGCCCCATCTCCTCCAACAGTCATTTTAGACAAAACTCTAAGTTTTTGCCAACTCATTGGGTGTAAATAGATTTCTCTTAAGAAAATCTGACGAATGGAGAAACTAAAACCGGCCCCTCTTACTAATTGCTCACAAAGATAAAAATCCAAAGGTTGCCTGTCTGTGTGTGTGTGGGGGGGGGGGTGCTGCAGCACAGGATTACTGCAGGTGATGGGTTTTGACATCAGTAGCATTGTTTTGCCCAAGCTTGAGCTGTCCTGTTCTTTTGTCTTCTCCCTAAATGCCAGGGAGATTCTGTGTTTAGGTCCAATCTTGTGTTCTTTCTCTCTCTTTCTCTCTCTCTCTCTCTCTCTCTCTCTCCCTCTCTCTCCCTCTCTCTCCCTGTAAGAAGGGGCATAGGGCTAGATACTGGGGAAGGGCCGAGTGCTCTACTGACCATGGTCTTCATTCTGCCTGTCTCCCTAAAGGAGGGTCAGCCTCATCAGGTTCCTTCTTGGAACTTCACCCTCCCCCCTCCACACAACTCAAATAGGAGTTAACTCACAGCTCTCTGCTAGATATGTAATAGACAGCTGACACATTTTAACATTTCTCATTTTTTCCTGTATTCCTCTTCCTTCTCCAGGGATTCCCTGCCCAATGAACCCCCTTCCCCCCAACCTCCATCATGTCCTTGTTTCTCCTCTGTCCTCTGCCCTTTGGGCCTTAAGTTGGAAAACCAACCTGGAAAACTCATTTTCCGGAGGTACATACTGCTAACAAGAGTTTCCCAACAGGGTTGCTTTTCTTAGGGAAGTTGGCTGAAGGAGGCAATGATTTACTGCAGGGACTCAAAGCCTTGGAATCCAAGGGCAGGAGTCCCGGAGGCAGAATGCAGGATATGAAGATAAGGTTTCCACCAGGTGGAAGGTCCAGGCCCGCATAGGCCCAGGAAGGGCCTTACCTGTGGGGTTTTGAGAATACAACTCTAGGATGAGGAAACCGGATCTTAGCTTACACAGGAATGCAGAGGCCTGCCTTGAAAGACAGAGTCTTGACAAATGACAAATAGAGAGCAAATGAAGAATGGAACAGTAGTTGGTGACGTGGGTGGCAGCCTGAACAGACCAGAGCCCTGCCGGGCCCCACAGGGCTGGGTGTGGGTCGTTTGTACTGGGCTCTTGTACATGCTTCTCTGTGCAGTTGGTAGGAAACAAGGTTGCTTAAAGGAACAGTGGGGGAAATGTTGTGTCCTTCAGGGCCTTCAAACATAATTCACCCCTCTTTCTGTCAGCAAATACACACCAAGCATACGATTCGTACCCAAGATTGGGCTGGGCCCTAAAAATACTAAAGAGAGACAGCTTTAACTAACCAGCACTTAAGCAGTTAGTTTAAGCAGTTAGTTAAAACTAACCTGCCCTGCCCCTCCATCAGTTCACTGAGCCATGGTCGTTCACTGGGTCAAGTTTCACCTCTGGGCTGGGTGACAGTACTTGGTAGAAATTAGGTGCACAGCTAACAACCCGCAGTGCAGGCTCTCACAGCGCCCTCGGCCTCCGAGCTCCCTGCAGCTTCCCAGTTTACTTTGAGCACCTCCGGGGAGGGAGGCGGCCCTCTTCACGTCCAACAGTGAAATCCACCCCTCTATCCTTGTACACATTCTCATCTTTCTTTTTTTTTACAAGTCAGAAAAGATTTTGGAAATGTTCAGTTATTCTTGATAGTTCAGCTACTACCTGATAAGTAGCCTTCGCTCAATTCTCTGATAAATGAATTCAAGCTGAGCTATTAGGAGCCTAAGCAGATGAATCTCAGGACAAGAAAAAAGGTTACTTTGAGATATCAGAAGGGGACCCAGATGAGTTTGGTTCCACTTCACAGTAGGAACATCACTCTGTAAGTTCAGGATGTGGATGGTCTGTTTTGTTTTTAGTTTTCATTTCCAAATGTTTTCTTTTTCTGCCTTTTGTTTTATTAACTACATGGCTTTTTTCTTATACGGTTATTTTTTAAATTGCTGTAGTAGTAAGTGAAAATTTGCTAATAAGTATATATAGATGTTTGGTTAAAATAAAATGCTTTTTTTATAAGTTAGAAAAGAACAGCCAGAGCCATGTCCCCCAAAGTGCAAACATTTGCAGTGGCAATGACTGAGCTCCTGATCCGGGTCAGGCGCTGCGCTGCCCCAGACTTCACTGAACGCTTACCCAGTGTCCTCCCCAATGTTCCTCCACCTACTCTGAGTCAACCTCTTCATCTCTGTGACCCTCCATTCCCCCCGTAGGGGATCCTGCGTATTAGGACAGAGACCCATGTCCCATGTCACGAGGGTATAAAACTCAAAGGCAATGTTTTATGTAGAGAAGGTTTTCCAGAGATTAGTTGTCATGGTTTTAGAACAAAATCAGTTAAACAGTTGTAGGGCATTATAAGCTCCGAATTTTATTTATTCATTAAGCAAAGATCCAACCAGGCCATGGGGAAAATTGCACGGCCAAGTTGTTTTTCTGTTTGTTTTCTTTTATTTAACTCATTCTCTGAATAGACCACAAGTGCACGTAGCTGTTTCCCAGCACTCTTTTCAAGTAGAACTTTTTAAATATTCAAGCAAGGCACTCAAGAGTTGAAATATAATAAATCAGTTGCCACAATATAATGAAAAATTCATAATCACCAAAGACTATTATGTGTGCTACACAACAAACAGGAAATGCCGATAATGGTTATTTTCCTCTCTCAAGTTTGTTCTTATTGTTTCAATCCACGTTGGAAAGATAGCTGTGGCCATTTCAGTAATAGGTCTCTATGTCTTGCTTTACTATATTTTCAATAAATTTTTAAAGTCTTTTTTTAATACTGCCAGAGCTCTGTTAGCTTCTTTGTGGTTAGGATTCACGGGGTTCATGTTATAGGAAAATGAAGCAACCAGACACCGAGGGATTCTGGAGTACGAGGTTTATTAACGTGCATGGGTCCAGAGGAGTCAGTCTCCAAATTCTGAGCCCTGAACAAAGGATTCTTGGGGGTTTATATAGCCTAGGGGTCTTCCTGTCTACATGGCAAAGCGGGATACAGAAGCAGAATGCAGTAATTAGTTCCATCTACAGGGCAGAAGCAGAGTACAAAGGCTAAATGTGAAAATTGGTTCTATCTGCGGGGATGCTAGCCCCAGTCCTTGTGACTGTCCCGCTATTTGCTTTTCCCAGACGGCCTTATCGTCCTCCCATGGTGCCTGGGGTCTTGGGTGAGCAAAGGTCTCCTAGGGCTTCTCCCTTCATTCACACATCTCCATTCTCTCATTAGTGATCCTTCTGTGTCCTGAAATTATAGAGGTGTAATTAGCACATAATTGGAACATTTAAATCCATTTGCATCTAATTTTGTTTTTGGGGGGTTTCTGACATTAAATTTTTTATTACAATTTACTTTTATTATTTTTATTCATGATTTTAATGTTATTTTGTATTAGTTTCAGGTATACAGCATAGTGGTTTACAGCTCATTTTAAAATGCTGTTTACATCTTTGATATTTATTGTGATTACTAATGTTTTTTATTTGTTTTTACATTACTTTGTGCCTCCTATTTGCCCTGCTTTTCACTGATTTTTTTGTTTCTTTTCCTGCCAGATACTGGGTCCATCTCTTCTTCATTACCCTTTCTCCTTCTTGGAAATTATACTATTCTTCCATTAGTTTTAACATTTTAAATGAAAGCATGATTGAATTTTAAAACTCTAGAGTTTCCATCCTCTTTCCAAACAATACAGGAAACTTTTAAAATAAAATTAAAAGAAGAAATATCTTTAGCATTATTCCTATTTTCAGGACCTTACATGGGTGAGAGAAATTAACTCACTATCATGAATATACTTTAAACTTTAAGTGATCCAACAGTTCTCTATGACAAATATTTTAATACATGTAATTCCCTCTACCAAGCATTCTTGGGCTCAATGTTTTATTTAACATGCTAATATTAATGCTAATGTTTTATTTAATATTTTGCCCCAAAAATGTGCTGTATCAAAAGGGCCCTATTCTTAAATGGTGATGGAAGGAGGCTTAACTTGGGGTGGTGAACACACAATACAATATACAGATGATGTAATATAGAATGGTACGTCTGAAACCTATATAATTTTATTAACCAGTGTCACCCCAATAAATTCAATTAAAAATTAATTTGAAAAAGTGTCCTATTGTCTCAAAATTCTCATCAAGCTATTCACCAAGACTATAACTTTGGTTATATTTTCCAGACTGAATGAAGACTATATAGTTTATAATTCTTGTCTAGTATCTTATCTTCATATTGTTTTTATGCCCTCAAGTCTTTATGAAATTTTTGTGGTTATTTCTTGCTTGAAATTACTAAATTATTTATAAATATTTGCTTAGTATTCTTCATTAGCGCCTCGCTTTTTTCTTATAGCCTTAATTTCCTGAAATTAATATTTTATTATTATTTACTGAAGTGAAATTACATGTCATGAAGATGTTATTTTCATTGAAGTATGTTAAGAAAATACCACATCAAAACTTGACAAGTAGTGGAATCTTTGAACTTAGGTACCACGTGAAATTAAAACCCTTTCAATGATTTTTAAAAATACTTTAACCTCTATTGTTCTGTCTTTTTTAAAAAGCCTTTTACTCAGGCCTGATTCTGTGGCTTCACACATTTGTCACTTGGAAAATAATGATCCACAGGCCTGAGCGGATCTTTTCAATGTTAACATGCCTCATTATAAAATACTTTTTTAAATCACATTTCTAAGCACCACTACCGACCTCGGGAGAAAAGTCTTTTAAGGTGCTATTATGTCAAGATGGCAGGTACAAGTTTTTTCCAATCTGCATTTCAAAACTCTAACTTTTTAATTCACAGCAAATGCTGCAGTTGTTTTTCGTGAATTAATGAGCTCACTTTGTTCATTTCTAATAAAATATCTGCTAAACTCCTGAGTCTGAATAACCATAATTTGTCAGTCTTTCAGATTTCAAAAAGTGAGATTCCATTAAGACAAAATGTCCTTCTTTGAGTTTTTGTTTTTGTTTTTTAAATAGTGTTTCCTGAGTTGGGAGCAAGCTTGGCTTGTGTAGGAAACGGAACAAAATTCATTACAGACAGAGCAGAGGCAACAGTGGGGGATGGGTGGGTAGCCGCTGGGGGGGTGGATGGATGGAACGCTGGGTCGGGGCATGGAAGGATGGGTGGGGGGCTGGCGGGATAGAGAAATCAGAAGAGAATGATTATCGATGGCCTTACTGACAGAAGTAAAACACCTGGGTTTTCTTCCGCATGTGAAGGAAACCATGGAAGGGTTTTCACCACAGGACTAGCAAAGTCAGAATCGCAGTTTTGAAAGATTATTCTGGCCTTAGAGAGGGAGGGGCAAAAGCGGAGGCAAGGGAAAGGTCCAGAGGAGACGGCCGTCCAGAGAGGGAGACCACCACACCACGTGGGCCGCGGGCGGTGTGGGCCGCGGGTACCACGGACGGAGGGAGGGGTGACCGGCCCCATCCAGCCCCTTGTTGGAGGAAGGCACAGTAACAGAAGCACATCTGAAGGTGAATTTACTCTTCCCAGATCATAAAGGGAGCACACAGTCTCTCCCTCCTCAGAGATGCCAGTCTCCAGCCGACTTCAGCCCTTGGGAACATTCTGTCCCCGCCAGCGCCAGGAGCGGGAAGAAGCCTCTCCCCACAAGGCCTGATGGAAAGGTAGGCTCGCCCTTCCAGCACACTGAGCGTCTTGGCAGAGCTTCACTGGACGCGCCTCCAAGGGGTATCCTGACCGACTTTCATTTTTCCTCAATATTACTGGCTTTTAGAACTTCAGAGTGCTTTGCTGTATAACCAAAAGAGCAATTTTGTATTGCTCTTTCACCAGATTCTCTAATTTGCAAACCGTCACCCCCCCATTCACCGAGGCCTTGTTCCAAGACCCCCAGTGGGTGCCTAACACCACAGATAGCACCGCACCGTATACTTAGTGTTCCACACACACACACCTGCGACAAAGCTTCGTTAGGCAGCCAAGGATTAACCACAGCAGCTAATAATAAAATAGAACATTATAACAACACACTGTGATAAAAGGTAAAGGACCACATTCCAAGGGACGCCTCCAATAAGAGGTGAGTTTGAGCCCTGGCTGGTGCGGCTCGGTGGATTGAGTGCCGGCCTGTGAACCAAAGGGTCGCTGGTTCGATTCCCAATCTGGCTACATGCCTGGGTTGCGGGTCAGGTCCCCAGTGCAGGGTGCAAGAGACGCAGCCACACATTGATGTTTCTCTCCTTCCTTCTCCCTTCCCTTCTATCTAAAATAAATAAATAAAATCTTTAAAGAGAGAGAGAGGAGTTTCACCCCAATCCTGAGAGAAGAGAATGACAGCTGGGCGGGAGGGCACATGGGGAGCAGGAGGGATTCCAGGCTGCAGGGCCAGCTCGCGCCGAGTCCTGACGCCATGTGCCCACGGAATGGCAAGCACTCTGGCTGGCCGGACCCATGTGCTCAGGCTGGGGGTGGCAGGAAGCAAGGCCAAGGGGTTATCGGGGAGCTGCTCACAAATGCCTGTCATGGAAAGACCGGGTTTGTACTGAGAGGACTGGAAACTCAGACCGAGAGACCAGAGACCGGAGGTCACATCCCTAGCACTTGCCAACCAGGTGACAGGTGTTGACCTCCTGAGGCCCCGTGTCCTGACATGCCCCCTTACAGGGCTGTCACAGGGATGAACTGGGGCAGTGGATGCGGAGGGGTCGTCAACGTGCCGGCTTCACGCAGGGGATGGTTTGACGTGAGGCTCCTGGGGACCTGCAGGTCTATGGTGCCTCTCTGACTGCCCCTTCTCCTCTCTGTTGTGCTGCATTTTATAATCCAAAGAAGTCAATTCGTATAAATAAGGGAGCATGGCACAGGGCAAAAGCCAGGCAGACGAGGGTTTGAATCCCAGTTCCACCACACGTGACTTTAGCGAGGGGCCTAAAGGTGCTCTCAGTCTGCACCTGTCTTGCCCCCCCCCTGCTGTTTCCATAGTGACCAGGGCTCCACAGACAATACACATCCCGCTTGGTCGGCTCAGCACGGCAGCTGGAGGGCTCACCGTCCACCCTGAGTGTGGTGCCGCCGGGCCCCGCTCAGCAGATGCGGTGAAACTCCAGTTACTCTGTCACACCGATCGCACGATTCCTAAGCTGCAGAGACTCCTGCGGCACCCAGGCCCAGGGACAGAATGTTTGTACCGCGTCTCGACTGTCCGTCAGACTGTGATTTGGCACTGCTAGAGCGAAAGTACATTTCCATCAATTAATGAATCATGTGTGCTGCCCTTTGGCCCGTCCCGCAGGCTGCCCAGCACAGCAGGTGGTACGTCGGAGAGTGCAGTCGCCAGGAGGTGGAGGAGGCCTTGCTCAAGGAGAACAAGGTGAGGCCCGGCAGCCAATGGCTTTCTGCCCGCAGTCAGGGCACCTACGGAGCAGTGTGCTTCCACGGGGCGGGGCTGGCTCCTGTGTCACCTCGTCTTTCTCAGTTCTGGGGAGGGTGTGACCGGATAGAGGACCTCAACCAGAGTGGAAATGGGAGACTCGCGAGCCTTGCGACTTTCTCAAGTTTATAAATATCTTTCAGTGTAGGTTTCTTCATTTATTAAGTGAAAATAGTAAAACCCACCCTAAGGAACGATTTGGGAGACCAACTGCAGAAGCTGGGGTATAAATGGGGTGTAAGTGGAGATCAGGAGAAAGCACCTTCCTTTCACTTCCTTCAAGTTTCATCTCCTTACTGAGGCTCTGCTCGGGATGCAGCAGGGTCTCTATGTCTCGCTTCTTCGGGGAAGGAGCAGAGGCCGTGAATGCTGTGGTAGTCAGGATGTGGTAGGTCATGCTGCAGTAACGAACACCCCTAAGACCTCAGTGGCTTAGCAGCACAAAACTGTTTTTCTTGCTCACGCCCCATGTTCCAGAAGGGTCTGGGGGGGAAGCGGACTGCTGCAGGCTGCATCTCAATGTGTGGTCACACCGGTCACACACTGGCTCTTAACCTAGCCTCTCAAAAGTACCACATTCCACATCTGCTCACGTTGTGCCAGCCAAAGTCACACGGCCAGACCCAGCTTCTGGGGGAAGTACAAAGTGACTGGCTGACCAAAAGGAGAGGAAAACTGAAGTATTTTGCAATGGGCTCAAATAATTACTATAACCGTTACCACAAAGAGCAAACGGTTATGAAGCAACTGTTCTCCCTTGTGCAAAAAACAACATGAGATTGTTTAGAAGTGATAGAAAGGCTCCCAAGACCCACATGACATCAAAATCCGTCTCCAGGTAACCAGTACAGTGGTCACTGTGGAGTGGGTTCCCTAAATTCACTCATCTCAAGAAAGATGAATGAATTCATTCATTAGTGGATGGGTGAGCAAATGATAGGACCCCAGCAAATTTTAACAAAACCTAGGTCTCGGAACTGATATTATAAGATTAAGTAAGATAAATTACACATAAATTGGGATGGAAAGCAGAATAACGCCCCCCACCCCAAGACGGCCATTCCCTAATACCCAGAGCCTATGACTGTGTCACCTCCCATGGAAAAAGGAATTTGCAGATGTGCCCAAGAATCTTAAGATGGAAAAATTACCCTGGATTATCCGGGTGGAGTCAATGGGATCAGAAGAATCCCTGTAAGAGGCAGGCAGGGGTGTAAGAGTCAGGTGTGGGGGCGGGGGGGGGGGTCCAGTCACTAGCAGCTGGAGGCCTCTGGAAGCTGGGAAGGGCCAGGGAAGGGGTTCTCCCCCCCCCCGAGGGAGAACTGTCCCTCTGGACACAGCCCTGCCCGCACCTTGGTTCTGGCCCAGGGAGATTCATGTGGGAGTTCACCCTCCAAAACTGTAAGAGAATAAACTTGTGTTTTAGTCTACTAAGCTTATGGTAATGTGTCATAGCATAATAGGAAATGAATACAGTCATGAACAAAGTGTCTTGAACATATTAGGCATAAATGGAAATATCTTATTTTGAGATGAGAAAAATGAAGCTAAGTCAAGGTCTCAGTCACAGATGGAGAAGGTGGCAGACCTGTAATCCAGAGGAGCTCTTCCTTCTCAAAATCTGCCTGGGTCCATGCCCCCTCCCCACCCCCTCTGCGCCCAGTTCCGCCTTCTCTCCCCGCAAACGCCGAGAAGACCAAATCTCAGGTGAATGGCCGCCTTCTCTGCTAGTCTCAGTGCAGTCAAAGTGCGTCTTCCACTTATCGAAGATGATTCCAACTGCGGGGTCACTCAGACTCGTGGTGACAAACACACTTCGGACTTTAAGGGGGTGAACCCCGAAGTCAGCCATGCATCTTGACTCCTCCCCTTTCTGATCTTTGGCAAGGTTCCGTGCTTGAGTCTTAAGGCTTCCATTACAGCTGAACATCTAGGCAAAAGAAGAAAATTTCTCAGTCCCACTTGTACTCAGAGGCTAGTATGTTTAAAGAGCAAGAAATCGGGCTTGACTCTTAGGCATTCCATTGACCAGGTAGGATGCTTTAGGAAACGCACTTAAACTCTTGGATCCTAACTTCCTTACATGTAAAATGGGGATAAAACACCTCCTCAAATTCTATGTGAAGATCAAATAGAATAATGTATGTGAAGTGCTTCATACCTCGAGGGCAATTCTCAATGAACCTTAGCCGCCAGCACCATCAGAAGATCACTGCAGTTTATAATATTATTCATAGATGTGATATGTTTAAAGTATTACTCTACATTATAGGCATTATATAAATCCATATCTATATTATAAATATAGATTACACATATGCTGTAGTTACGCATAAATACAGATATTAAACACAGTTGAGATAAATGCATATGACAATATAAGTATTATCCTATTTTTATAGAACCTTTATAATGATCTCTGTGATCATAGTCAGCATTTTCAGCACGTAAATGACACACTGGGGCCACAGAACTAAGCCTTGCAGGCAGGCGTGCTCACCTTCGGGGGTCTTGCCCCATTCCTAGGCCTTCTACGTGGGACCTCCGTCCGCAGCCCTTCCCAGGGGTGCCTGGCGGGTTCTGCTCCGTATCAGGTGCCTGTTCACAGCCTGAGGACCATTCCACACTGTTGACCTTTGGGACCCTCACTCTCTGCCCATCGCCTTGGCTTCTGTCGTGCACGTATCCGGGTTTCCTTCTCCCTCCGGGACTCTGGGGACACCGTCACAGGGCCCTTTCTTGTCTCCCCCCACTTGCCCTGCATCTGCCCCCCCCCACCTGGCTGTAATTTCTCCCCGCTCTGCAGCCTCTACACTCACTCTGACCTCTGTGACCTGGAAGCCCCACATCTTCCCTGGGCACCCTACTCTTCTGCTGATGTCTCCCCACACAGAGGCCCAAGTTATCGAGCTAGAGGCCTCTTCTGCTTAACGCCTGCGGTGGCCGCCACCAGCTCTGGGACAAAACCGAGTGCCAGGCAAAACCAGAAATACCTGAACCCTGGCAGGCGAAGGACAGGCAGGGGGAGGGGGAGGGGTACTCCGTGTAGCCCAAGAGCCAGATGGGGCCTTCGGCAAATGGTGGCTTGACTGGAGACAGGACCCAGACAGAGACCACAGGAGTGACAGGACATAAACCCACAAGATGGGCTGGTGCGTTTACCCACGAAGGTCAGGCTGAGGTCGTGGGAAGGATGCTGAGGACAGTGGTGGGGGTGGAAGATCTGGAAGAAGGGGTGTCATGACCTGACTGGTTGATGTCTCAGAAAATGAAGAGGACCCCGATACATAAGGTCACTCATTAAGTACTTACTGGGTTAAATCCAATAAAGAACTAGTTTACCAAAAACTAAAGCGGTTGGGGAATCTCACGTAAGCAGCACTGTTTCCACGCTGGGAGGGTGGGACGCTCGCTGGGTTGCCTGAGAGGATAACCAGTCTTCCTCTTCCTTCAGGATGGTACTTTCTTGGTCCGAGACTGTTCCGTGAAGTCCCGGACAGAACCCTACGTTTTGGTGGTCTTTTACGGGAACAGAGTCTACAATGTGAAAATCCGCTTCCTGGAGAGGAGTCAGCAGTTTGTTCTGGGGACAGGACGCAGAGGCAGCGAAGTGGGTATAATTTCACACCTTTCCTTTTTCCACGCTAAAGCAAAATGAGAGGAGAACGTGGGGATGCAGGGTGGGGACAAAGGCTGCCGCCCTACAGGTGCAGGATGCAGTTAATCTTTCCAGCCCCTTCCACCAGCGTCCCTGCACAAGGCTTACCCACGCAGACAGTGCTGACCGTTCCGCATACCCTCTATCCTGCTCTGCCTGTGAAAGAAAACTCATTCTGCCAGACGTCTAATTTCTGCCTCCCAGGGTCCTGCACTGCAGCCCCCGTTAATGCCACATGCCCCCTGCCCCAGCACTAACTCCCAGGCATCTCTGACAACATCTGTTAGCAGTAGGAATCGGCAGGTTTGTGTCCCCACACTGAAGGTGAGCTTAATCACAGGGCCCAGGGGTGCCCGTCCCCAGCCCCGATCGGCTGTTGGGTGGCCAGGTGAAAGCGGATCCATAACTCAGCGAGAAAGGGGAAAGGAGGCTGACTGTCCCTGAGTATGTTTATGACAGGCCTGCTCCGCCTGCATTATCTCATGTCGTCTCTCAACAGCTCTGTGACATAACAACTGCTTCTGTGTCAGATGGAGGGAAACTGAGGCTCAGAGAACTAAGCCAGTGGCTGGAAACACACAGGTAGTAAGCGAGAGGACAAGGAGAGGCTGCACGTTCACCTCTTCGTGTCGGGGAGAGGAAGCGAGAACGGGGCGCGGGGGGAGATGGGGGCTCGATTTCTCGGCCACCACTGACGAAGTGTGTGAGCTCAGGCCACTCGCCCGACTTCTCTGGGCTTCAGTTTCCTCTCGTGTAAATGACCTTTTTAAGTCTAGATTTCTAGAGTTCAGTGGTTCCCGAGTGGTATCGCCAGACCTCAGTTTTATTAGTTGGTGTGTATTACGGACTGAGTTGTGCCTGCCTCCCTAATTCACGTGCTGAGGCCCCGGGACTGCAGAATGTGACAGTATTCGGAAATAGTGATTTTCAAAGAGGTGATTAAGGTCAAGTGAGGTCAGTAAGGCAGGTCCTAATCCAATCTGACTAGCGTCCTTATAAGAAGAGATTAGGACACGGACACACTCAGGGGGACGACCACGTGAGGGTGCCGAGGGGAGAGGCCCCCGAAGAGACCAGCCTGCCGACCGCCGGACCTGGGAGTCCAGCCTCCAGGACTGTGAGGAAACAGGTGCCTGCTGTTGAAGCCACCATCGTCCCCAACCTGCGGCGCAGTGTTACAAGGCCGAGCAAACTAATACGGTGACGAGCCAGCACTTGCACAGACATCCACTGTTCCTCAGTAGGTATCAAAGGAAGGAGCGCGGCCAGGCTGTCAAAATGCTCCGGGTGGGCACATGTGGGAAGCTCCTCTCAGCGGAGCCCGGAGAGTCCAGCATGCACCGCATCGGACCCAGAGCCCTTGTCTGGGAGTCACGCGTGGACTAGAGAGACTGGCCAGCACCAGCCAGGCTGCGTGGGGCCTGTTCACCAGCCTTCGCTACAGCCCGGACCAGCCCTGGCGTCGGCGAGAGCACAGAGAACAAGCAGATGAATACACGACCCCGCCAGTCACAGCCAGGCCCGGGAAGTGGTGCGTCCAAACGGAAGTAGCCGGTGCTCCCCACCCTCTGTGCGGAGGGTTAGCAAGTGAGTGGAACACACTCGGAACACTGCCCGGAACGTGGTGAGCCCACGATGAATGTGAGTTATTCCGTGTTCACAACCAAGACTGACTCGTTGTAATAGCCAGGCTGTTGTTGCCTCAGCTAGACTTCCAGGGCTAGCGGACTGGCCAGCTCAATATTCCTTTATCCTTCTAGTATCTTCTTTCAGCTCATAACATTTCTCATTTAAATACAGTTAATGATGTTCACATGGTTGAGGTTGAGGATTCCTTTTCCTTAGAGAAGATAGAACACAGAAATCACGCACCGTAACATGGACCGCGGAGCCCTCTGAGGGGTGCTATTTAAGTTGTTTTCTCGTGCGGTCCTTGAAAACCTCTGGGAAGGACCCACCTCTGGGTATTGAACCCCTTGTACCAGTGAGGAGACTGGGACCTGAAGAGCTTACAGTGTTTCCCCACCGAAGCCACACCGCTAACAAGAGAGCGGCAACAGACACACCGGGGCGTCCCCGAGAACATCAGAGAGTGACATGGCACCTGATGGCCTCGGCGGGTACGCAGGCCGGCTTCCAGCTGAGGCCCCTGGACTTGGCCAGCCAGGGCCCCTGAAGGAGTCCATGCCTGTGTGAAGAAGACCCTTTTTATGTGATTACGGATTTTCTTCTTCTTGCCTCTTCCAAGCAAGAGTTTCCTCTCCACGACTTCACCGGACACTTCTATACCTTTATATGCACAGGCATTGTTCTGTGCAGTTAACAGTTAGGAACTCATTGATGGATATTGTTCTCACAGCAGCCCTGTGAGGTAGGTGCTGCCAATATCTCCATTCAACAGACAGTGAAACTGAGGCACAGGAATGTTAAGTACCTGGCCCACGGTCACAGCTAGTGCCTGGCAAAGCTGGGGTCCCATGTAGTCTGCAAAAGATCGACGTCCTCCTGCAATCTAAGACATCACAACCACACACAAACAATCCCCAGCCTGCTTGGAAACAGCCCAGAACGTTGGTTGAAGAAGAGTTCACACTTACGTGGAGCCTACTGTGCACCAGGCACTGGTTCTTTCTACCTGCCCCGGCCCAGGACTGGGACAGCTGTAGACCGCTCTCACTCCCCTCTCCACGGACACAGCGTGAGCCCTTCCCCTGCCGAGGAAGGCTCGCCCACCCTTAGAACGAGGGAGAAGTCTTGGATACAGCCAGGCTCTGCTACACGCCAGCCAGCTACCAGCTACCAGCTACTTCATCGGTGCTTCAGGGAACGTTAATGAGGCACAGGGTTTTCAAAAATCATTTTGATTGCGTGTGGCTTTTTGGAGCTCTTACACACTTTAGAATTTAACCACACATACAGTGCGGCAACTGTCTCGAGAGATTTATTTCAAGTCTAAGAAGAGATGATGTCAAAAGAGTACCAAACACATAGGAGCTGGTATGTAGTAACCACCAGATTCCATCTTAAATGAGCCGCGAAGGCCCTTTCGTTAGCTCTGTGCACCGGGGCACAGGCCCAGCGCATCGACGCCGCTCACAGCACGGGAGGCCAGCACCCAGTATACACCTGCACAGAATAAGTCAGTGAGGTCGTTTCCTGCTTATCAGGTATTTGGGTCATTCTGTTAGCCATGTGGCCAGAAAGTCACGTCTGACTTCAGAGTTAGGGAGTAGCTAGTGTATTCCTTTCCTGGGGCGCTGGGACAAAGGCCCCACAAACTTGGTGGCTTAAAACAACAGAATTGTATTCTCTCCCAGTTCTGAAGGCCAGAATTCCAAAGTCAAGGTGTGCGCTGGGCCACACCCCTTCTGGAGGCTCCCAGGAGGGACCCTCCCTGCCTCCTTGGGTGCTGTCAGCAACACGCCGCTCCCTTGGCTCGTGGCCACCTCCCTTACTCTCTGGGTCCCAGGTCACACTGCCTCCCCCCCTCCCCTGCGTGAGTCTCCCCGAATTTCTGTCTTATAAGGATACACATGATTACCCTCAGGGGTAACTCAGGATATGCTCTTCTCCCAAGATCCTCAACTTACTCCCAACTTTTGTGATGTGAATTTGCAGTCACTCCTTGATAGATAAGGTAATATTCAGATTCCAGGTATTAGGACATATTTTGGCCTATTTTGGGGGGACCACCCTTCAGTCCACTGCACCCACTTGCTCAGTCACCGGCCAAGTAGTAATTTTCTGCCTGCGCTATGTGAGAGTCAGCGCTCTGTTCTGGAGACACGGGGCAGAGTCAGGCGGAGTCCCTGCCACCCAGGGGACACTGGTGAGTCTGTGAGTCTCTACACGTGCACTCGAGCAGGGGCAAGCGTGGGGATGCTGAGCAACTGGTAGGACACCAGCCCTGCTGGCAGGACGGACACCGGCCACCCCAACCTTCGGGGCTTCACTGCTACAGCCCTCAGTGCTGCACCCGAGTTCAGAAGTCACGGGTCAGCGTTTCTGGGATAGCTCGTAGGAGAGAGCAGTTTCAGTCCTCAGACCTTACATTGCCGATTGATCAGTGGCTGAAAATCAGGACAGCTGTCTACTTGATGGATTAAACACAGAAGCCCAGACGACACAGACCATTAGCCCGTGGGTTTATTTCTCACCTGCCCTGTCTGCTTCTCGCCTCCCTCCCTCTTTGCTTCTGTCTCTCTGTCCCTCTTTCCTGCTTTCACTTGCTCGTGTCGGCACAGACTGATTGACCCGCCTGGCAGTGAAATATCACCCGTGGCTGATATGCGGGGCAAACCCAAAAGGTTTAAACAAATTTTAAGATCCAACAGTAAGATGACTTTTGCTGTTCTCCTAAAAAAAAGTCATTTAATATAAAAACAAGAGCTTAATTATAATCTTTCAAAAGTCTCTTCAGGGTAATACATCAGTTGCAGGCTTATCGTTGGGTGTCACTAAGAAGGAACAACAGTGTCATTCATAGCCCCTGCCTTGCCCGCTCCCTATTACTTGTTGAAATGACAATTTCATATCAAATGTCATCCATGTAACTATTAAACAATTCATATTGAATTCACTATTTCGGGACAATCCTGAAAAAAACAGGAATGCGAATGCAGAGCAAGCACCCCCCACACTGAAGATTCATACCAGGAAAGGGGACCGCTGTGGTGCCAGGTGAGGGACTCATCACTCCACATCTCTGTCCCAAAGTCCCCCTCCCCCCACCCAGTGACACCCTCCTCACACCCTTCTTAGTGGCAGGAGGGAGGACAGAGCCCCAGCAGTTATAGGTCTCTACATTGCAAGCAGTGCTCCCCCGGGGAAAAGCAAGTCCCCTCCCAACAGCCCCACGCAGCCCCAAGGGCAGGGCCCTGCGTGGCCTGGTGAGGGTCTGAGCCCACAGCAGACTGTTTTCACAGCACATCACCCCAAATGCAAGGACCTCTTCGTATAGGAGCTTATTTTGTCCCCACCAGGTGTGATCTCCATGAGGACAGTGACCTTGACAATCTCATTTTCTATTGGCTGTCCCTGAGGTCTGCACACATTTCTGGTGTATGGGGAGGGGAGGAGACACAGAACTAAAGCAGAATCAGATTGTCCCCGCTGGGACATACCTTCCTCCAGGCAGTGGCCTCTCGCCCCGGTCTGCCGGAATGCCAGGGCCACAGCTACAGGCAACGCTGTACCAGGAAAAAACTGACAGGCATCCAGAAAAACCAGGTTCCATTCCTGGTCCTGGCCCTGCACGGCGTGACCTCTGGGCCAGTCAATCCACTGCTCTAAACTGCAGCTTCTTTGGCTCTTCAAGGAAGGTCATTGCTCACCTCACAGTGCTGCTGAGGAAGATCGATGTCTCCGTCAAGTTTAGAAGCCGGTGGGGCACGCTCTTCCTGATCATCTCCCAATGTTCCGAGAGCTCGTCCAAACCCAGCAAATCAGATGCTCTCTCTGCCCACGTGCTCGCGACCCCTGCCCTGCTTCTTCCCTGCCTTTACTTTCTCCAAACCCTCCTTGTCTGCTGCCCTGGGATCACCCAGAACGCACAGCCCATTTCAACTCTGTGTGTTCCACAAAGCACTTCCTGATTCCCCTGAACTTGAAATAACCTTACTTCCCATCAAATCACCTCAGGACTCTATCTGTACATCTCTAGAAACACCACGTGAAATGCTCTTTTTTTTTTTTCCACACAAAGCCCAGGGAAGGAAGGGAAATTGGCTGAGAACAGTGGGCAGCCCCAGGGTCATCAGAGGGTTTCTGACCACACCAGAAGCCGTTAGATAAGGGGGTACAGGAGAGAGAGTTCGCCGCAGGCCTTTCCCACCAATTTCCTAAGTGAAGGTCGATCCTTGGCCCACTACATGTTGGTCACAGGGAGTGGAGATGTAAAGGACACCGCAAATTCCGAAGAGTCCCTGGGGCTGACGGCTGTGAAGCCAGCTCATCTCTCAGGAACTCACCTGGATGCTCTGGACAGGAACCTGTGAAAACAGAGAAGCCTGACCAGGTGATCTGATTCTCGTAGATCAGAATCAGGAGATGCCTTAGTTCACCTTTGTCTCCCCAAGTGCCTTTATTCTCCGCATTATAGCATTCTTCTCACTCACCCTCCAGAGAACGGGTGGCCACACCCAGTGTTTTAAACGACTTTCCAACACACTCTTCCAACAACCCACCTCTCCCCCCGCAAAAAGTGTTCATGAGTCCATCTCTTTTCCGAGGGAAACTCCACATCTGTACTTGAACCTGCAGACACACAGGCAGGGAAGCTTCCACTCACTTTCTTGTCTGTGTCTCAGCAGTTTGACTCGGTGGAAGACATCATTGAACACTACAGGTATTTTCCTATTGTGCTCATCGATGGGAAAGACAAGACTGGCGCCCACAGGGAGCAGTGCTACCTGACTCGTCCCCTCCCGCTCAGCAGACTGGCCTCACCTTGCTAACCTGTCTAGCCTGCGGTCCCCACAGCCAAGGCCTCTGTTACCTGTCACTTCCTTCCAAAGATTATTCTCTGTGCCTTTAAGGAATGACATTTTTGACATTGTAGAAAAGAAGGGATACGTAAAAGAGGCAACAGTCAAACCCAACTTTTAAAAACCTGTCTTGTGGAGAAGCGACTATGAAGATGGCCGCTACGGTCCTGTTACAAAGGATTGTGGCCACAGAGACTACAAAACTCTTGCTTAAGTTTGCAGCTGGCACATGGCAGGTCTGGGTGAGACTCCCAAGTCTGTGCTCATTATGGGTCCTCACACGGCCTTTCTTCATTTCGGAAATGCTTGGACTTGTGAGTTTACAATGTTTTCATGGCTCCTTATGCTGGAGGTGCTGGGGAACACCAGCTCTATGCCATTATTGGTCCTGGAAATTCAGTTCTAGGGGAGAAGTGTATTAGGAGAGAGAGAGCACCCATGATTATCCCTTGAAAGACAGGAATCAGAAATGCATTTACAAGGCTGTGAAGTGGCTGGTCTCCAGAATAGGCTGTTTAGAGTCACTTAAAGACAAGTGGAAGGAGCAGATTCATAGCAAGGGCGTGAGCTTACGTCTGAACAGAAGTATCATTATTTTTAAAAACTCCAACTGTGGACTTCCATTCAAAGGAAGCGCCATCCCAAGTTAGTGCTATGTTGCAGGAACATGGTTCACGTCCCCGCTCAGGGCTAAGAGGGTGTCCTTTTATTCTCGTTGCACAGTTCAGGTGAGGAAATGGAGGCTCCGGGGGTTACTGACCTTCCTTAGTGTAAGAGGGGAGCCCCGATTTTCATCCATTTTTGCCTGGCTCCCTCCCAGCACATCTTCCCAGGTTGGCTTCCTGCCCAATGAAAGAGAAACGACTCGAGAACAGAGATGGACCCACCTTTAAATATATAAATAAATAAACTCCTGTAGCAAACTTTAAAAAAAGAGAAGAGTTTTGGTTGAAATTATTAGTACACAATGACTTCAAATGTGACCAAAGCCTACATGTGAAAATTATTAGAGTATTTATGTACTTGTAGCTACAACGCAGAAGTAAAACCAAAATACATGAAAAGGCAAGAGATATCAGGGAAAATAATACACACAGTGCCCAGGCTCGCCTCTTGTCCGAAACTGCCACCAGTGATCACCAAGCAGAGTTCTGAGTGTACCAGCCACCGGCACAGGCGCATGGGCCCCTCCTTTCACAAGGTCAGCGTGACATCATGCCTCAAGGTCAGCTCAGCAGCACTGTGAGTGAAGCTAGGACTGCTGACACCCCCGAGCCCGCCCTGGAGTGTGCCTGCACAGGGTAACGAGGGACCCCCAAGACCAGAGGGTTTAAACTGAAGCGTGGCTACTAAGGAACAGACCGACCCGAGCTAAAGGCGGTGTGGCAGCTGGTCATGCTCAGCGGGGCTTTAGCAAACCCAGGCCCGTGTGGGAAACACACTTGGCAGAGAGACCACAAGTTCATGTGCGGGCGCAATCTACTGCTCATTCTAAAAAGCTCTGGGGAGATTTTACCCAGAACTCTGAGTCACTTACTCTCTAGGCCCATGCCACTCCAGACCATGCTCTCAAGAAATTTCTGCTTCTCCTCGAGCTCGTTCTCATTAAAACAGGTGGACATCAGGGAGTGGCTAGCAGTTTTATCAGGCTTCTGTTTTTGAAATGTTTTAGCAGCTCCTACTCATAAATGCATGATAAGAGGCTATGAGGAAAAAGTAGACATTGACCATCTTAAAATAAAATGCCCACAATACCTACACATATGCAAATCTCCAAAAGTAGAAGGAAACTCAAGATTCTGACAGGGGTGGCTTGGATGACTGAGATTTGAGGGGCCAGGTTAGGCGGGTCCTCTGGAACTCAGATGTCGAGACAGGGGTTGGGAGAAGTGCACACGTTTATGGAAAGCAATGCGTGGAATGCTGAAGGGGAGAAGGAACAGAGAGGTGAGGAGGACGAGCATCCGACTGAGCTGCAGCACGGGGAGGGCCTTAGCCAGCCCATCAGTAAGATCCAGAGCAAAGACTGCCCGTGGAGGAGAGTCCTATGTGGGGCAGAATGGGCAGGTGTGAGGACACCTCACAGGCTAACTCATTGCCAGGGCTGTCCCGGAAAACTAGACCTTCGAATGTTGAGGGACGTCCAGAAGGCACTGTGGCTGGAGGCTGTCAGAGAACTTGGTGATCGGCAAGTTCTTCTTTCGAGGAACACCCAAGTGGCCCATCTCCAAGTCTGCCAAAGGGGCATCGGGTTCCCCGCACAGACTGTAGCGACATTGTGCTTGGAATAGATCACTAAAGGGTGGAGATGTGTCCGTTTTCATCGTACTGCCTCATCACAGCAGTTCCGTAAAGAGGGCTGGGTGGGTGCTCTGAACCCATCTTATGGTTGAGGGAATGAACGGGCCTCCCCAGCCACACTGTGCCAGTGACATAGTCACAGCTGGAACCGAGGTTTTCCTACACGAAGCTCCACCCAGGGTCCAGCCTCTCATGGGACCTGTCATTCCAAGCCCGGTGACCTGCACGTGGCATGCCCACAATTCCAGAGTTTCCACTCAACTCTTCAACTCAACTCTTCAACTATTATTTCACTTCCAGTTGAGAAGTGTCTCTTCACACCTCACCTGGGGGGAGCGGAGGAATTTTGGCTTTACCTGATTATAGCACCTACGCATTCACAAATACTTCTTTTTGATCGAATCATTGCTATTTGGCTCAATTTATACCTTCCTCATCTTTAATAATACCTTGTTATAAGCGCTTGTTTGTACGAAATGTATTTGTTGCTAGGCAATCTTGCATATATTGGAATTATAGCAGTGAATGAAGTAGGAGAAACAGCAAACAAGTGTCCAGTGAGTAAGATCGTCCGAGCTGGCTTCCCATTACGTTGCTGTGTCTCCGTTTTAACACTCCCCTGAGTGCTGGTAGTGAGGCCTATACATTCTTGCTGAAGCCTATTTAAAAAGTTCTCAAATTTACTTAATGGAAAACTCCTCTTTGGGGGTATACATGTGTATATATGTGGGGGGAGGGGTGGGTAACAACAGCACACCTGAAATCAATGAACTATTCCATTCAATAACTATAGAAAAATCCAATGTTACCCCACTGTTACCCCAATAATAGCTCTGCTTTTTGTGTGTTCACATACACACACGTTTTACACAATGGTCTGCATTATGTATGAGTAGCATTATATTTGGGAATCTGTTTTTTTCATCTTGAGTAACATTTGTTCTATCTAAGCACATTTACTATTTTTTAAACATCCATGATTTACAGCTGTACTAACTTAAATGAAACAAATATGTAATTAAATGTCCTAACATCTCTGTAATTGAGTATTAGAAAAAAGAATTCAAAATATAGTTTAATTTTGTTTTTTCCACGCCCTATTGTTCCTGAAGCCCTTTTGAAATCACATGGAGGATACATTTATGACATTTTGTAGAATAACTTTTGACCTATGAGCATTAATAAATGCTAGATTTGGGGATATAAAGATGAAAAAGACTTAACCCCTGTGGCTGCAGGCAACGAGCTTGGCATTACAGCACATGCAACTAAAAGCAGGCAATGCCAAATAAGACAGAGGTCTGGCCATTCTCGCCCTGGTACCACCGCTGTCCTGGCAGGCAGAGACCGTGTGTGGAGGAGGGTGCAGTCCCGGAAGGCTGCCTGGGGGCGGGGGCGGGAGGGGTATATTCAAGCAGAGAGCTGACGAATGCCCCGAGAACAGAGTACAAGCTTTAGAACTACAAACGCTTTGTCAGACTATTTTGAGTGCTCCCATTTTAAAGGGCACTAGTCTAGGCCATTCCAGTCCCTGGTCACGCCGTGGCCACATATTAAGCAGACACGTGAACCCAGGGGAAACGGCCTCCGTGGGGAAAGGGCAGGTGACTGACTGCCTGCTTCTGGGGAAACCGGCTTGCTGTACAGGAGGAAAAAACCCACACTTATGTCGTGCTTCAAATCATACCCAAAAATAAACTCCACGGATCAAACAGCTAAACGGGAAAAGCAAACGTGAAATTGAGTTCTTACGTTTTCTTCTAATAATTTTTATGGCTTTGGGGTAGGCAAAGACTTCTCAAAACTGAAACATGAATCATAAAGGGAAAGATTGATAGATTCATTACACCGAATTTAAAATGTTTGCAGAAGTCCAAGTCGCAAGGCACGGAAGCCATCTAATAGAAGTGTGAGCAAAGGATACAAACAAGCAGTTCAAATATATATATATACATGTAATATTATATATATTCAAAACCTCTTAGTCCTGTTAAGATGTTCAGATGCGCAGCTTGCTGTCACAAGCAGGGAGCAGTGGGTGCAGGAACACAAGTGCCACCACCACACAGATGCTGTCATGGCATCTTCAAGAAGCTGTCTTCAAGGACAGATAGCAAGGAGCAGGGCAGGAGAGGGAAGTACCTGTCTACCCTGATCCCCAGCCCTACCGAGCTCGACAGGGGACCCGCAGAGAGACAGACTTCAGCCAGAAAAATTCAAAAGAGGCCGGGAGAGTGAGCAGCCCCCATGGGAATGGCAGGTGGGCTTCCGATCCGTCTGTGAGGAGAAAGCAAAACAGGCGGGTGGCCTCCGCCGTTCCCCAGTGCTTCCTGAGAGGCTTGCTGGGGCGCAGAGGCCCCAGCACACCCGGCTCCGGGCGTCCCTGATGGCTGCCTCGGCCAGAGAAGCGCTAATTAAAATGAGACCTGCACAGCACGTTGCACCCATCCGCTTGGTCAAAATTAAGGATTCAGAGCATATCTTCAACTGGTGAGGATGTGTGGAGGCCTGACAACTCGCTTTCCCATTGTAATGTAAATACCTGACTTTCAGCTTGTTTCTGCTGAGGCATCCATTCCAAAGACATGCCTTGCTAACTACAAAACTAGACAGAGATCCGGCCACCTCACTTGTGAGGTTCCCCCTTCAGAAAGCCCCAGTGACCTCGGAGACTGACACCTCCATGACTCTGCCTCTCCCCTCTCCTGCTTCAACTGCCCATCCTAGGTTTTAAATTCATCAATAAGGAGTGACCCCAAAAAGCCTAGCCTCCCCACGCTCAACCCCAAAAAAGGCAAAACCCCAGGTCTCCCCACCCCCACCTCTGTCTGAGACATCTGTGTGCTGCCCACCAGGGTTTCTAACAAACCTCGTTTTCCCAGAGTTCCCGGTGCTGGGTACCAGGTGTGTCTAACAGGAAAAACACAACACCGCAATGAGAGCTGGGGATTTTAATACATCTCTCTCAGAAATAACAAGGTGAGCAAGCAAAAATGAATGAAACTATAGAAAATTTGAACACCACCAATAAGCACGAATAGTTATTTGCAGACCAGGTCACACAGTAAACACAGAACACATGTTTTTCCTAGTCCAGATAGAACACTCACCAAGAAGGACCACCTTTTGGCCTAAAACGAGTCTTGGTAAATTTTAAAGTGTTAGAAAATATGTAGATTATACTCTTTAAGCAAAATAAATAACAATATGATGTCTAGAAAAATGTCTCCAAATATTTGGAAATTAAGCAACACATTTTTTTAAGTTTTATTTTCTCACTCTCCTTTGATCTGTGGAACGTTTTTTCTTCACTTTTTCCTTTATTGTATTTTATCGATTATACCTTTGCACTTGTCCCATTTCACCCCCTTCATTCCCCTCCACCCCGCACACCCCTTCTCCCCAACATTCCCCCCTTTAGTTCATGTCCATGTATCATAAGTTCTTTAGCTTCTACATTTCCCACACTACTCTTGCCCTCCCCCCGTTCATTTTCTCCCCACCATCTATGCTACTTATTCTCTGTACCTTCTCCCCCTCTGTCTTCCTCCCACTCCCATTGCTAAACCCTCCACGTGATCTCCATTTCTGTGGCTCTGCTCCTGTTTTAGGTATCTGCTTAGTTTGCTTTTGTTTTAGGTGTGGTTGTTAATAACTGAGTTTGCTGTCCTTTCACTGTTCATATTTTTATCTTCTTTTTCTTAGATAAGCCCCTTTAACATTTCATAAAATAAGGGCTTGGTGATGATGAACTCCTATAACTTGACCTTATCTGAGAAGCACTTTATCTGCCCTTCCATTCTAAATGAAAGCTTTGCTGGATAGAGCAATCTTAGATGTAGGTCCTTGCCTCTCATGACTTGGAATACTTCTTTCTAGCCCCTTCTTGCCTGTAAGGTCTCTTTTGAGAAATCCGCTGACAGTCTGATGGGAAGTCCTTTGTAGGTGACTGTCCCCTTATCTCTTGCTGCTTCTAGGATTCTCTCCTTCATTTTAATCTTGGCTAATGTAATCAGTATGTGCCTTGGTGTGTTCCTTCTTGGGTCCAACTTCTTTGGGACTCTCTGAGCTTCCTGGATTTCCTGGAAGTCTATTTCCTTTGCCGGATTGGGGAAATTCTCCTTTATTATTTGTTCAAATAAGTTTTCTATTGGTGGCTGTTCCTTTCCCCCTTCTGGTACCCCTATAATTCGGATGTTGTAGCGTTTAAAGATGTCCTGGAGGTTCCTAATCCTCTCCCCTTTTTTTTGAATTCTTGTTTCTTCATTCTTTTCTGTTTGCTTGTTTCTTTCTTCCTTCTGGTCCACATCATTGATTTGAGTCCCAGTTTCCTTCCCATCACTATTGGTTCCCTGTGCATTTTCCTTTATTTCATTTAGAGTAGCCTTCATTTTTTCATCTAATTTGTGACCAAAATCAACCAATTCTGTGAGCATCCCGATCACCAGTGTTTTGAACTGTGCATCTGATTGGTTTGCTATCTCTTGGTCTCTTGGTTGCTTAAAAATATTGGCTCTGAGGCTTTGATTTGTTCTTTCGTTCGAGCCATAATTTTTTGGTCTGGTCGCACCTGTTACGTAGTGAGGGGCGGAGCCTTAGGTGTTCACCAGAGCAGGGCAACCCCGTGTCGCTGGATTATGACAATGTATGTGGGGGCGGGGTCAGAAAGGGAAACAATGGCGCTTGCTCCTCTCTCGGATTTTGGTCTCCTCTGCCACTTCCCACAAGCAAATTGGGCTCTTCTGGTGCTGGTTCCCAGGTGGGTGAGCTTGTGTACATTCTAGGACCCTGTAGGTCTCTCCAATGAACTCTCCTGTGCGGCTGCGAGTCTCTCCGGCACCTCAACCCCCGCAAGCTTTTTCAGTCGGTGCTTTCAGGCTTTATTTCCCGTTGCTGGGGCTCTGAGTTGCGCGGTCTGTCTCACTGCCTCTTTCCGCCTGGTTTCTCTGCACTGGGATGTGTGTCCACGGTCAGGGAGTCGCCTTGAGCGCCTCACTGGGTTTGCTGGTTTCCTCCCGCACCCGGGGTCTGCTAGCCCCCTGCCTCCTGCGCATCTGGGTCTGCCAGCCACTGCCTCCTCCTGCCGGGACCCCTCTCCACCAGCCTCCGACTCCACCCCTCTTACCGGTCTGGATGAATGGTTCGTTGTCGGACTTCCGTACAGTTCAATTTTCTATCTGTTCTGGTTGTATTTTTGTTTCTAAATCTTCATTGTCCTTAAATCTGGTTATGTGAGGGGGCTCAGTATTTCCATCTTGGAAATGGGGTATTTCCATCTATGAAGGGTGCTCCATCTTGGCTGGAAGAAGCAACACATTTTTAAATGACTAATAATCAAAGGAAAAAAGAACAAGAAGAGTCTAAAAGTATTTCAAAATGAGTAATGAAACACTGCAATTTGAGGGATACAGCTATCCTTTAAATATGATTTAATATAAGCATTTATAGATTAAAAGCTTTAAAGAAAAGATACTTCCATAATCAAGTACTAAGTTTCCATGTGAAGATACAAAGAAAGCATAAAGTACAAAGTAAGCAGAAAGGAGAAACCATTAAGGGTAAGAGCGGAAATCAAGGAAATAAACAAAAAGCAACCCAACAAAGCCAAAACTTGGTTCTTTGAATTGTTATGGGAGAAACTCCCAGAAACTCAGTTCTTCTCACCGATGCAGTAAATAAAGACCAGCCAGTCCAGTGGCGTGCAAGCAGGGTTTAGTGGTGATCCATTCTCATGGAAGAGAACTGGCCTAGTTAAAATGGGGGGGGGGGGGGGCTGAAAGGCATGGGGTCAGGGTGAAGCAGTGAAGGTAAGAACAGCCGAAGTCCAGGGTAGTGAACACAGGGGTGGTAAGGGCCTAGGTGGCAGTGGCCTGAGGCCCAGTGGCCTGGCCTTACTGTCAGAGAGCCAAGCCCTGAGTTCTCTGTCCTGAGGACTTACATAGTTGGTGGGAGGAGGAGTGAGGGAGTTCCATATTGATCGACAGGTAAAGGTGGTCCTAGCTTTCCAGAACAGGGGCGTGAATACCCAAAGGTATTACTGGGCTTCTTCCTTTAGGTACGATGGGCCCTTTTCAGCCTTTCAGGACTTGAGATGAAGCAGTTTCAAAGGCTTTCTTTCCCAGATCGTGGAAGAGATACAAAGAATTTCAAGGACCGCTGAGTCAGTGGGCAGGACGTGCAGCTCGCCTCCTCCCCACCTTTGTTTCCCCTCTGGCCGCTCATTCCACTGTAACATTCCCCCCTCAAGCAATAGGAACCCAAATCTTTGCGGACTTTGGGCTCAGGATGGCTGGGTTAGTGGGTGAGACATGCCTGCCTCCTCCTCCTTGTGTTGGTTTGTTATCTATCCTAAAGAATGATTAAAATTAATAAACAGCTAACTAAAGTAGTCAAAAACATAAGCAAAGAAAAAATACTAAGAAGAAAGGAAGGGAAAACACAACAGATCCTACAGACATTGAAAGGCTATTATCATAACCACCCTTATTCTGGTTAGGTTGAAAACTATAATTCCAAACATATAATACTAACATCAGAAGAAAACAGAAAATCCGAACAGCACCTGATTTTTAAAGCAAATTAGAAACTTTCCCACACACACACAAAAGCTCTAGATCATGATGGATCTTATCAAAAATATTAAAGTTATAATACCATCCTCGGCTGGTGTGGCTCAGTGAATTAAGTGCCAGCCTGCAAACCAAAAGGTCACTGATTCAATTCCTGGTCAGGGCACATGCTTGAGTTGCAGGCCAAGTTCCCAGTTAAAGGCGTGTGAGAGACAACCAATCAATATATCTCTCACACATTGATGTTTGATGTTTCTCTCCCTCTCTTTCTCTCCCCATTCCTCTCTCTAAAAAAATAAAATCTTTAAAAAATAAAGTTATAGTACCAAAATTATAAATTTTTTAAGTAAATCAAGAAAGAGGGAACACTTCCGAACTCTTCATAGGGCAAATAAGCACATCACCCTGACAGACAATACAAAGGAAGAAAATTCTAGACTATGTGCCATAAGCATAGCTCAAAAAATCCTTAGCAAAATATTAGCAAATCAGTGGGGAGAAGATGCCTGACCTAAGTCACTCTGGAAGTGAGTGGAGACTGTGAGACCACAGAGAAGAGGAACTTTCTGTATATAGTCACCTGATACTCCAGTCGGTAAAGTTTTTTCTGACACGGGTACATGTAAACATCGCACCCTGGGACTGAATAAATAAGACAACGAATGGTGCACAGGGAAGCCAGGCTTCTCTCTGTGTGAGCGGGAGGTTCCTGACAAGTGAAAAGGCCAGGCCACAATGAGCCCTAACACTGCGTAGGGTTAGAGACATGTTTTGCTTAATATAGAGATACATGGTCAAACACAGAAATCACTGCATGTATACGCGTGTGTACACATTAGTATACGCACATCCAGTTCCAGGCTCTGTTCACTTAGGGGGCCTAGAGGCAATGATACTCTGGTAGAAAAAAACAATAGTGGGAGGAGGTGAGGAGGCAATGTTGCCTTGCGGCTTTAAAACATAAAGCCACTGAAACATACTGGAAATTCACAAACAGGAAAGCGAAGGTGTGATAAAGGTGGTCCTACAAGTCAGTGGGCAGAAGGTGGTTTCTTTAAGCTTTGCTGGAAACACAACTGCCTGTCGTGTGAGAAGGGAAAAATATATCTACATTAAAAAAATCCCATGGCTATTAAATATTTAAAGATAAAAATATATAACAATAACTACTTAGAAGAAAATCTACGGAAATATTTGCATGGTGGCATTATGTGTATTGGGGAAACTTCTTCAGCAACACAGAAAACCAAACCAAAAAGCAGGCAAAAGCCAAAACACTTGACTATGTAAAGGTTTTAAATACAACAAAGACTAAACAAAATCAGAAAACAAAGAATAGGACTCAAAAAAACCTTTCAAGCACATACATCAGAGAAATGATTCCTACATATACTACATCAGTAACTCCCACAAGTTAGTAATATAAGAACAAATAGTCCAACAGAAAAATTCCCAAAGAGAGACTTCTGGCCAAGATGGAGGCGTAGGTAGACACACTGTGCCTCCTTGCACAACTAAAATAAGGACAACGAAAATTTAGAAACAAAAAAACAACCGAACTGACAGAAAATGGAACTGTACGGAAGTCTAACAGCCAAGGAGTACAAACAGACACATTTATCCACACTGGTAGGAGGGGCGAGGCTGGTCAGAGTCTGGGGGCCAGCCAAGAGAGGTCACAGCAAAAAAAAAAAAAAAAAAGCGATGGCTGGTGGACCCCAGGCTTGGGGTGGCAGCTGGCAGACCCAGAAAGGAGGCAGATTTTGGAGGGGCGCTGCAGGCAAGGCAGCTGGTGGATTGGACAGTCTCACATTTGCGGGCAGATAAACCAGGCAAAACTGGGGAGTGAGACAGACCGCACAACCCAGGGTTCCAGCATGGGGAAATAAAGCCTCAAAACACTGATTGAAAACACCTGTGGGGGTTGAGGTGCCAGGAGAGACTCCCAGCTTCACAGGAGAGTTTGTTGGAGAGACCCACAGGGTCTTAGAACTACACAAACCCACCTACTCGGGAACCAACACCAAAAGGCCCAATATGCTTGTGGGAAGTGGCAGAGGGGACTGAAATCTGAGAGAGTGTGGAGCGCCATTGTTTCCTCTCTGAACCCACCCCCACATACAGTGTCATGACCCAGCGACATGGGGTTGCCCTGCCCTGGTGAACACCTAAGGCTCCGCCCCTCACTACGTAACAGGCACGACCAGACCAAAAAATTATGGCTCAAACGAAAGAACAAATCAAAGCCCCAGAGACAATATTTTTAAGCAACCAAGAGATAGCAAACCTATCAGATGCACAGTTCAAAGCACTGGTGATCAGGATGCTCATAGAACTGGTTGAATTTGGTCTCAAATTAGATGAAAAAATAAAGGTTATGCTAAGGGAAATAAAAGAAAATGCACAGGGAATCAATAGTGATGGGAAGGAAACTGGGACTCAAATCAGTGGAGTGGACCAGAAGAAAGAAACATCCAACCAGAAAAGAGTGAAGAAACAAGAATTCAAAAAAATGAGAGGATTAGGAACCTCCAGGACATCTTTAAATGTTCCAACATCTGAATCATAGGGGTACCAGAAGGGGAAGAAGAAGAGCAACAAGTAGAAAAGTTATTTGAACAAATAATGAAGGAGAACTTCCCCAATCTGGCAAAGGAAATAGACTTACAGGAAGTCCTGGAAGCCCAGAGTCCCCAAAGAAGGTGGACCCAAGGAGGAACACACCAAGGCACATCCTAATTACATTAGCCAAGATTAAAATGAAGGAGAGAATCCGAGAAGCAGCAAGAGATAAGGGGACAGTCACGTACAAAGGAGTGCCCATCAGACTGTCAGCTGATTTCTCAGAAGAGACCTTGTAGACAAGATGGGGCTGGAAAGAAGTATACCAAGTCATGAAAGGTAAGGGCCTACACCCAAGATTACTCCATCCAGCAAAGCTTTCATTTAGAATGGAAGGGCAGATAAAGTGCTTCTCAGATAAGATCAAATTAAAGGAGTTCATTATCACCAAGCCCTTATCTTATGAAATATTAAAGGGACTTATCTAAGAAAAAGAAGATCAAAACCATGTATAGTAAAATGACAGCAAATTCACAAGTAATAACAACCACACCTGAAAAAACAACTAAGCAAACAACTGTAACAGGAACTGAACCACAGAAATGGCGATCACATGGAGGGTTAGCAACAGGGCAGTGGGAGGAGGGGGGGAGAAGGTACAGAGAATAAGTAGCATAGATGGTAGGTAGAAAGTAGACAGGGGAAGGGCAAGAATAGGAGAGAGATGTAGAAGCTAAAGAACTTATGACACATGGACAAGAACTAAAGCGGGGAAATGTGAGCGGGAGAGGGTATGCAGGGTAGAAGGGAATAAAGTTGGGAAAATGGGACAACTGTAATAGCATCAATAAAATATTTTTTAAAATAATAATAAGAGAAAAATACCCAAAGGATAAAGATAGCCATTTTATCGTAGGAGAGACCCTGATGCTCATCGACACATGCAATGGAGCTCAAGTTCACGACTGTCAGGGAAATGTCAACTAAAGTAAAAGAGACTTTTTTTCACCCAGCTGGTAGCAAAAAGTTCAAAAGAATGCTGCACCCAGTGCTGGCTGAGGGCTGAGGGGAGGGCAAGCCAGGTCTGTACAAGTTATTAGTGACAATGGCACTGGAATCACTGTGAGTCTGAAAACTGATCTGGCAAACTGTGAAAATGAAAAATGTGTCCTTGTCATCGATTCTAGTTCTGGAAGTTTGTCCCATAGAATTTTTACTGAAAATATATATATATATCATATAAGGGGGTGTCTCTTGAAGCCTGGTCTGCCAAGTAACACAACAAAACAATTACAATTCAGCAATAAAAAGATGGTGAATTAAGCGTATCCCTGCTGTGAAATGGTGTGCAACTCTCTAAAAGAATTCTCTGGCACTGCATCAGTTCTCCTGTGGAATTGCTCATCATAGGCTGTAAGGGATCAACCACCTTGCAGAGAAATAAATGCACACAGAATTGGTCTATGTTTATAAAAACAACCATACCCCGCAACATACATCTTACTATTTTTTTATATTATAGTTATAGAAGAATATGCTAAGTGTTTCAAGTTTGTTCTGGTGGGACAGGGACCCATTGGAGAAAGGAGAGAGAGAGGGTCTGGAGACAGGGGAGGGGCAGTGACTGAGCAGAGATGTGTAAACCACTCAGCGTCAGGGAAGAGGAGGAGGAGACCAGAACATTCTGTTACTACACCAGCAAATGGGTAACACCAAACATGTGTGCAAACTTGATGAGAGAGCAGCATGGGAAAATGGAAACACCTTAACTGGCTGTACAAAAGAAAAACTATATATTGTTTCTGGGTTCCAAGCTGCACAATGCATCCCTCCAGGATGATGTCATTTACAAAACGCAGTTCACTAAGTCAGCTGCTCTGCGCAGTTTCTGTGTTTGCGAGCAACATTCGTCACGTCTTGAGTCCCTTCCCAAATATATACACAACTCAAGTGCCCCATTTTACCTTCTCTTTTAAAAAAATGGACCTTTTCTCTAGGGAAAGAGGGGAGATCGTGTGCACAGGGGAGGGGCAGAGGTGGCCCCAGGGGGGTCTGCCGCATTTATGCTGCATTCTGGAGGAGGAAACCTGAGTAACACAGTCAAGCATCAGGATTCCCTAAAGCTGGGTGAAGAGTGTGTTTATGTTTGCGAACTACTCTGACAATATTTTTAAATGCCCCATAATCCAAAGCAAGAGGCAGAACACCCCAAGAAGAGAGAAATCCACATTCTGGGTCTGAGGAGTCTCACACCATGAACAATGGCACCTAGAAAACTGACCCAGAGTCCTCAGTCCTGCCATGCACCTGAGTCCTCGCCTTAGAGAATAAAGTGGTCCTCAAAAAAACTCCCTAAAATTCTGACCCCCGGAGAGACTAGAGAATACATAAAATACCATAGAAAAACTTTATACATCTCTTGGAATATGAAATCAAGGAAATCTGCCAGAAAATAAGGAGAACAGAGAAAACAGTAGAAAATGAGAGAAGAGATTGAGAGGCAAAGATCAGTCAAGACGTTTCATTATTGGAATGATAATTTAATGATGATGAGGATGATGATAAAAACAGGTACTGTAATAAAAATATGAATAAAAAAATCCAGAATTGAAGGACAATAGTTTCATTACCGAAACTATTAACTGCACAGACCGATAGATACATAGATACATAGATATATAGATACATAGTAAAGAGATCGATAGATCCACCACCAAGAAGGATAAAGAGGAAAATCTAAGGGATCCAGAGAGATGGGGCGGGGGGGGGGGGGGGGGGGGGCACTTTACAGTAAAAGAAAGAGAAGCAGTACCACATCAGCATTCTCACCCACACCAAAACCAAGAAAACGGTAGAGCTTCACCTCCAAAGGTTTGAGAAAATGCTGTTTCAACCTTGAATGACCCCATCCACATAAGGGATGAAAAAGACATTGTAGACATTCAAGGCTTCCAAAAACTTACCTCTAACACTCTTCTTAGTAAGTTATTTGAGATAATCTCTGGCAAAAAAAATAAAATAAAAAAGGCACACAAACAAGCAAGCAAACAGCAAATCTAAGGGATTCCAGCATCCAGGGGTTTTAACACAGACAAGAGAAGAAAAGTGCAGCCAGTCCAGTGGGGGCAGGTAAGACACCAGCACAGGTGAGAACTGGAGGTCCAAGCATGTCAGGGAGGAGATTTGCGAGCTGGGAGGAGGGAAGGGAATTTTTAGAACATCCCATTGAACAGAGAGGCTGCTGAAGTTTAAAGATACAGTCATTTCTTGGTATCTGTGGGGATTGTTTCTAGGACCCCCGCAGACACCCAGATTTGTAGATGCTGAAGTCCCTTATAAACAATGGTACAGCCCTGGCTGCTGTGGCTCAGTGGATTGAGCGCCAGCCTGCAAACCAGAGGGTCACTGGTTCAATTCCCAGTCAGGGCACATGCCTGGGTTGTGGACCAAGTACCCAGTAAGGGGCAACCACACATTGATGTCTCTCTCCCTCTCTTTCTCCCTTTCTTCCCCTCTCTCTAAAAATCAACTTAAAAACATTTTTTAAAGCAATGGTGCAGTATTTACATATATAACCTTTGCATATCCTCCTGCACACTTTAAAACTCTAGGTTACTTATTATATCTAATACAGTGTAAATGCCATATAAATAGCTGTTATATTGTTTAGGGAATAATAACAATAAAGTGTTTAATATACTATCTACAAATCTAGATCATACACACCTGCCACTCAGGTCATTAGGAAATCTGTGAGGCTCAAAGATGCTGCAAAAATTAGAAATCTTAACTCCCATTTTCCTGCATTGCAACATCATCATTCTTTTTGCCTTCTCAGTTTGCCTATCACTCGTTATGGGTATTCATTAAATAATACAGGATTACAAAGAAATGGTTCAAAACTTCATACCGATCGCGTCCTGCGGGAGAGCGTTGCTCAGCTGAGGGAATGACGTGCGCCTCACTCTTCATGTGCTCCTCTGAGCCCCACGAGCCATACTATGCACTGAGAGCTTTGTTTATTTTAAAGGAGCGAGAAGACACACCGTCCTTCATGCTGAGAGTCCAATAAAAATGGTAAAAGCCTTCCATTTGTATAATAGGAAATGCAATGGTCCTGGCTTTATATCTGGGGGTTTCTGCAGGGGGCAGGGTAGGAAGAGAAAGAATACTTCCATTTCTTCTGCAGACTTCTTAGATTTTGCTTCTGCTGAATTACACAAGTTCATAAATCATTCAACAAACTGTTAATTTTTCATATCACGTTGGCTCATGCTTTGCCCCTTCCCACTCTTCACTTTCCCAAACACCACCGGACCGGTTCCTGTGAGGTTTTGCAATGACAGGAAATCCAAAATAGCTTATTTCTCTCTTAAGTAAATTAAGTCAGGGGATAAGCGGTGGAAGTCAGTTATTACTAGAGGCTCTAATTATTAGGGACTCAGGCATTTTCCACCTTGTTGCTCTACCATCCTCAGCGAGTTATAGTCACTTCATGGTTTATGTGGCTGCTCAAGCTCCAGACATCTCCTCTCTATCCCCTTATTCAAGCCAAGAATGAAGAATCCCTTCATTCTTCCTCAAGAATGAGGAAAGTGTCAAAATTTGCATGTCCCTTCCATTAAGGACACTTCTGGATGTTATGTATACTCTCTCTCGTTCTACTTACTTCCTCTTGACTAGCCCTTAGTAATATAATCACCCCTAGCTACAAGCAGGACTTGAAAGTAGTCTTTTTTCTGAGCAGCAAGAAATTGGAGAAGGGTTATTTCTAAGAGGGGAAAAAAAGGAGAAACAGGTTTGGGGAAGCAATCCCAAAAACTCTGCTAGCACTGCCATCTACAAACTGGCGATAAGTGCTGGTGGGTCCTCTATCGAGCATAGAGGACAGGAGAGGTCTAGTGCCCAGGGTAGGCAGAGAGAGAGTGCCTGAGTGGCAAAGAGCAGAGGCTGAGGAGGAGGCAGGGCGGGGCAGAAGGGATTGCGTTGACGGACTAGGTCTTCCCCCTCCCCTATCCCTTTTCAACCTGCACGCGGCTATTTCTGGAGGCAAGGACACTGCCTGAGCCAGGAGAGACCACCAGGAGCATCTGTACACTCTACCCATGTTCCGCTACTTGCTCTGCGGATCCCGCAGTCCTGTCCAATTGCTGTGAAAGTTTCTAAACGCTCATTTCCCCTTCTGTACCCCTTCCCTCCCTGGGGAACTGGTCCCCGCCACACTCTGCCTAGCCCTGGTCTAGGCAAGGGACGCTGACGGCTCGGACCAGCTTGGACCTGGAAGCCAGCAGGCCCGTTCCGTGCCTGGCACTGTGGATCCTCCAGGGTGACCATTGCACTTAATTAAATGCAAGCGTTGCAAGAGTTGCAAAGCGTTGCAAGAGTTGCAAACGTTGCAAATCGATTGGTTTAAACCGATTTAAACCTCCCCTTGCGCAATCAACTCTTGCGCAAGGGGAGGTTTAAATCGGGTGCCCAGAACGGAGTCCTTGGTAATCTCACCAGTGCCGATGTCCAGCCCCCACAGCTCCTGCTCCCGTCCGCAGCACAAACGAAACCAAAGCAAAGCAGCCCATCGAGATTCTCACAGAAGCAAGGGCGGCGGGCCACGGGTTAGGGGAGCCCAAGCTGCAGCCGGAAAACCCAGATGAGCGCAGGGCAGGCAGCCAGCAGTGCCGGCTGACGCACAGTAGAGTTCTACGAGGGAGCGCAGGACGGGCAGCTGCGCAGCGACACCGCGCGCCACAGAGGGTACTGCAGTGCTACGCTGGCGGGTGGGGCCAGCGTCTTGGTGACCTCCGAGAGGTTCTACTAGCTGCGCATGCTCAGTGCGCTCCTCAAAGCTCCCGGCCAGCGCCCGTAGGTGGTGGAGCAAAGAGGGAGCCATCTGGAGAACCAGGGAAGGACGCAGGACGCAGGACCCGGGGGGCACCTGGAAGTGGAGCTGAGCCGAGCGTCAGGTGCTCTGTTCTTCCCGACACCCTTCACTGACAGTTCCTCCACTTGACTCCCTTTGGCTTTTGAGAAAGGAATCCCAGAGACTGGCAGTTATTTGCCCTAGGTCACACAGCTGGCACAGATAAGTAATAGAAGCAGGATCGGACTCTGCCGCCCCTGTTCCCTGCACCACAGGGCTGAGAGAGCTGAATTTTAGTAGGAGGGCATCTTATGTGAACTCGGGGACCCCAGACAAACAGGCATTCATTCCTTTCACAGAGGAGCAACCCGAGGTCAAAGAAATGACTGGAAATTTCTGAAATGTTTTAAACAATAACAAAACATCAATGTCCTCGGGTGTCCTATTTATGCTTTGTCTTGAAGTGCCTAAGATTTACACGTCAGCCTCCCCTCCTCCCAAAGCTAGCCCGAAGTTCCAGAGTGGCTACTAGAGATCCAGCCCTTAGAGATCTGATCCTTTTCCAAGGCGCCAGGTCCTTCCTCACTGGCAGAATCTGGAGAAATGACTCGCAAAGATCACACACTTCGTGAGTAGCTAGGATAACCCAAAACTGCCCTTCCTTCTCTTTCTCGGTCATGCCCAACTGGGTCCACCTCAGGGCCTTTGCCCATGCTCTTCTCCCCATGTGTCAAGTTCTTTTCCATCTTCATGGGCTGGTTCTTACTCATGACTTAGAGTTTATCTTCAGAGTCCCCTTCACTGAACCTTTCAGGTCATCCTTTCTCTTGCTTTGCACTATGTCCACATCAAACTACCCAGTTTTATTTTCTCCCTCGCCTCTAGCACTCCCTAATTACATACTCCTTTACTTGCTCAAGCTCTACAACCCCCAACGAAACAAATGCTCCCAGAGGGCAGAGCCTCATCTTGTTCATCCTGTCATCATCTAACCTGTGCCAGCAAGAAAAAAAAGCACTCAAATGTTTGTCAAGTGAATAACTGAAGGAACGAACGTCAGCTCCCAGCCCTTACACGCAATGACTGGTTTTGTCCATGTATCTTCCCTCTTTTCTCTTGTATGTTAGGCAGTCATACCTGGGAGCTTGTATCGGTTTCTTAGGGTTGCTATAACAAATTTATTATTTTAAGTTCTAAAGGCTAGAGGCTAGAAATCTAAAATCAACTGTAGCAGGTCCTTGCTCCCTCCAAAACCTCCAGGAAAGTCTCCCTTCTTGACTTTTCCAGCTTCTGATCGCCCCAGGTGTTCCTGGCTTGTGGCAATTATCACTCCAATCTTGACCTTTGTCTTCACGTGCCCCCTTTCTCTGAGTCTTGACAAGGCTTTCTCCTCCCCTAATCTGTTTCTTCTTTAAAGATGCCAATCATGGGATTAGGATCCCACCTAACGATCTTATCTCTCTAATCTCGGCTATGTCTGCCAGACCCTATTTCCAAATAAGTGCACGTTCTCAGGTGTGAATTTGCATCCCCATTCACTGGGGATTTAGGGCCCTAACATATCCTTTGAGGGGGACATAATTCAACTAACAGAGGTAATCCATGGAATGCTAAGAAAACATTTAGCCAAACTAAGCTGGAAGGTGGACAGACACGAAGGGCTGTCCTAAGTGTAAGAAAGGTTACTGGTTGAATGTCTAGAAATAACATTTCTGGGTGAAGCCTCCATGCATCCAGACTTTTAGGGAATACTTCAATTTTAAGGGTTTCTAAAGGAGTGGTTTGGATCCCAGCTCCACCCTTTTGCAGGCTGTAAACACCCCATTTCCTAACCCTTCGTGAAACATTTACGTCACTAAACTCCAGCTCCTGGGAAATGCAAAAGAATAACAGCTATTGGGCACTTCTTATCTGCCAGGGACTGTGCTGAGCCCTGACCTGCTTTCCCTTGTTCAATGCTGAGGGCTCCTCTGTGAGGCTGGTCCTATTACTCACTGAACTTCACATGAGAAACAAGGTTCAGACAGGTTAGAGAGCAGGCTCAAAGCTTCTCGCCCTGCTGGGATTTATAATGAGTTCTAACAGCAGAGAAACTTCCAGGAAACCCAGAGGGACTTTCATCAGTTCTACTTAAGAGGGCAGAGCTCTCTGTGGTGCATGAGTGGCAGTCACAAGGCAACATTTTAGGGAAAAAACAAATATTAATACTCAGACTAGGGATTCTCCAATACCTAAAATTAACAGTTTTTCCTGATGTGGCTCCTTTTGCCACTAGAAATTGCCAGGCAGGGGCCAGTTTAAATTCTCAGTGCCCTCCCAAGCCCACCCCACTCTGGAGGGTGACTTTGAACTCTGCCCTACTCTCTCTGATATGAACTCTTTGGGTTTCTGAGGAGATCCACCTGCTGACCTGAGCCCCAGGGGACAGAAGGGGCAATGAGGCAATGAGGTCAATTTTTGCAGCATAGAGTGAGGGAAGGACCTGCTGTTGGTGAGCCATCTCCAGGTCGACATTCTCTGCGCCCAACCTTTGCTATTTCAGTTTGGGACATTTTTATCCTGGTGCTGACATTTCATCCTGCAGCTGACATTGTGTCCCGAATTCCACTTCTCCGTGTCGAAGAACTGCCCTGCGTCTCCTCCCTGCTCTGGCATGATGTCAGTGCACCCTGACCTCTGGCCTCCAACAGGAAAGTGCTGGAAGCCAGTCTGGCTAGTTCCGGAGCTTTGAAACAAAGGTTCAGCTGTAACTGCTGGAGAAACTGTGCTTCCCAGTTGACGCTGCTTCCCTGCTACCATCTGCCCTTACTAAGGAGCAATTTTATTTGGTAGGGAGATGCACCTGTGGCACTGCTTGTGGGGACTCTAGCAATATGGCCGCATTCTTCCTTCTGGGAGGGGTGTATTCTAATTACACCTTCCTTTGGGAAGGACAGAAGTGAGCACATGCCTGGGTGGGGGTGGAGGGAAGTTCACAGAAAAGGTGCTGAAGTCCAGGAAGCAAGGGGGGGGGGGGGACGCCAGCATCTTCGGACTCGCCCAAAATCTTTGTCTTGTCTGACCCTCACAACTACCTCCGTAACAGATGAGGCTTCAGGTTTGAGACTCAGAGAGGTCAGGGGACTTCTTCGCCCAAGGCTCCGGCGCTAGGATATAAAGCAGCTGGGTTTCGAACCTGAGCCTTCTAGACCATCTCATTCACTGTTGCTCTAAAGAGAGGAAGAATTGGGAGAGTGAAGACCTCACTTATTTCTCTCGCCTTTACTCGCCGGCTGCTGGGCCTCAAGCTCCACGAGGGCAGGGGACAAAGGCACCCTCAGCTTGGACCCAGCCCGGCACGGAGCGGGTGAGCAGAATCAGCTCTGCTTTCGCAAGAAGGCTCCTGGAGCATGTGGATATCCAGGCTAAGCAGGGACACTCACTACACGTCGTGAATGTGGACGCATTGGGTCTAGCTCTCGGCCGGGGAACAGGGCCCCGTTGTGCCTTCGCCTTTGCGCAGCGCTGAAACCAGACAAGGAGCAGCATAGCCTCAGGGACAGCCGGGGGCGCCCGCGCCAGCCGAGCTTCTCTCTGCACTGCGCAGGCGCCGCGTGGACCCGGGCTCCGCCCCCGAGTAGGGATCTACAGCGGACCGGACCTACCGCGGGTGTGGGGCGCGGCAGCGGCGGTGGCGGTGGCAGCAACGGCCTGTGGCCTCGTTGTAGACGCTCTCTCTGGACCCAGACCGGCTGGTGAGTAGCTGAGCTGGAGGGCCAGGGCTCCAGGTTCGAATGCGCGGGGCAGGTGGGGTCTGGGTGCGGAGGAGGGCTGCGGGGGGTCGCGCCGAGGGGAGGGTGGGACCGGCAGTGCAGGCCGGCTTCTGCGTGCCCCCCCCCAAGTCTCTGCGGCTTTCTGGTCTGGTGGTCCCCAAGGCAGGCTGGCTGCAGGCTTAGAACTGGGGGAGGGGCGGATGGCAAGGGGGATTGGGTACTCGGGAGGGGAGGAGGGAAGAGAGGGGTGTTGGGGGGCAGACGGACAGAGGGACGAAAGGTGCAGAGAGAGCACAAACCCAGGGGGACTGGATGGCGGTGGGTTGAGGGTCCAGCGTCCCCTGCCTGCCCGCCTGCCTTTGTGCCGCGGAGACCCGCAGGCTCTCCCCAAACGCGCCAGGTCGCGACCCTGAAAGGCTGCGGCGTCCGGTCTGCGGTTGCTGGTGTGGAGCCTCCAAGCTGGCCTCCGGTGCCGCCCCATGTGTTTTAAATGATGCATCTCCTGGGAGAATTTCTACCGGTTGGCCGGAGCAGGAAGTGTCGTCAGGAGGCCATTTTTAAAGCCTCGGAGGTAAGCGCTGACGTGTTTTGATTTTCAGTAGTTACAAGCATCCCCCGCGATATCTCAAGGGGGGGGCAGACTGCCCCCAGAAACCACGGTGTAACTGCTGGGTACTGCGCCGTCCCTCCCAGCACCCATGCTGTTAGAGGTGGACTTGCTTCGGATAATGTGGACCGTCGCTGTGATTGTGCCAACAATAAACATGAAAACCAGTCTGGCATCGTCTTTCCTTGGGCGTTTTGGGGCATGTCCAGGGGCCGGCTTGACCACTGAGGACCGGGGCACCTCTTGCTGGGGAAGGTCTGCTTTGTTTCAGGTGCTGATGTCACTCTCCGTGGGACCTCCCCCATCCTAGCCTGCCCTTTTATCTCGTTGCCTTAGGGTTGTTGGGCACTTTCTGGCCAGGGAAGCAATACAAAAGAATGAACATTTTTAAACCAAAAAGGAAAAGCCAAAGGAGAGAATTAAAGAAAACGTTTAAGTTACTCATGTATGTTGGGTATTTAACGTCTCCCCATTAAAGTACCTCCTACTTAGAAAAACTGGCATAATGAACAATTTCTCAACCTACCATTATAAAATGAAGTGCGAAATGCTGAGCACTTTGCCTTGTTTAAAAATAAAGTCTACATGTCTAAACTGTAATGTTGTGTTAGAACCCTTAAACACTGTCCCCCAAATGTAGAATTAGAGTCACCTGGAATAAGATAGAACTTGCTCTCCAAAAGGTCAAAGGACTTTCCTACATACAGAAGAGCAGAGAGAGTAGAAGGAGTGTTTATCTCTCTGAGTCACACATGCAAAGTTCACCCCCCACCCCCGGCTGTGATGTGTGTACACACAACAGGAAATACTGGCTGGGGTTCTCGAAGCCCAGCAAATGGTGGTTTAGAAACCAGCATCGAATTGTCTCTAGGAAGAATGCAAGTAGAGTGTTCGCCTTTTTAAATTGCATGATATTGATGGATATTATCTTTAATCTAGGATGCATTTTTTAAATTATTTTTCATCTTGGATCTAAACATAGTTTAGAAAAGTAACACTTTTGTATGTATCCAGTTTTGTTACGCTGATGACATTTCTCGCAAGTGCAAGGGCAGTATTTTATTTATTGAGCTTCCTCCCTGATGTGTTATGCTAAACCAATGTAGATTTTTTAAAATCTGGTAATAGCAATTAGAAAAAAAAAGTCTATTTGCTTCTAAGGAAGAGGATCTGGGCCAGTTTTTGTGCAGAGGAAGAACAAAGAACATTTTTATCAATGCCACCAGCCAGGCCAACAGTTCTCTCTCTCATTGACTCATCCATCTATCCATCCATTCAGTGTGTATTAAGTGCCTTCCGTGGTCCAATGCTATGCTGCTGACTGTGACAAACAAGCCCCTTGCCAGTGAGGTTTTCCCAGTCTCAGTTGTTCTCTAGCTGCCTGGCAAAGATGGCCTTTCCTTCATTTGCAGATACACACACCGCCCACTGCAGTTTCCAAGATCCATTCTTAGAGTCGAAGGTGGCTAGAGATCCTCTAATCCCAACATCATCGTCATGGGGCAGTGTAGGGTGGGGAGCCATTGGACTCACCCAGGAAGAATTTTAAACGACTTGCCTGAGGCCACCCCAGGCAAAGGACATTCCGATTCATTGGGTCCTGGGGGTCCTGGGAACCCTCCCCACTGCCCCCTCCCCCTCCCCCTGCTCCAATTTACGCTCCTGTGTGACACTTTGCCCAACACCCTGCTTAAAGAAGCATTTTGGGGTACTATCCCCTTCTTTTCTGGAAGAAAAGTGCCTGTAGAAACCAAGGTTGCACAAGCCTGGGACTTTCAGTCCATGCATCTGGCTTCTGTTTGCAGGGCCGGTGGAGCAGCGCTTGCTGATGGCCCCAGGGTTCTGAGTGTGGAAGCCAGGGCCTGGAGCAGAGGCTGCATGGGCCTGGGTGCCTGAGAAGACGAGGAGGAGCCCCTGCGACCTGCTCTTGATTCTCATCGGTAGCCTGGTGGCTCCAGGCCAGAAGTTAGAACCACCTGGCACAGCAGCACCTGTGACTGCAGTTCTCGGCCTCACAGCGACTGGCAGAACACAAAGGATTTAGATTAGACACCAGCTGACCAACTCCCTGACCTTAGAAAAGCCAAGCAGCTTCTCCAGATCTGTTTTCTTACAAGAAACAGGTGATCAAGGGTGAACCTGGAGGAGTATCCAGGTAATGTATTAATCTGCCTTTGCAGACACTTTTCTGCCTGATTTAGGCCAAGATGCTTTTAAGGTTGGCGAACACAGCCGGCCACTGGGCATGCTGATCGGATCACTGGGGTTAGCAGTTACTTTCCCCCACCTCTTGTTGTTATGCTCCTTAAAGACAGCAGCCCCTGGCAGGTGTAGGGGTGAAACAGTCCTGGTGTGTGCTCATTGTGTTCACCACACCAGCCAGTGTCGGGAACACTGAGGTTTTCAGGAATCTACAAAGTCGTTACTGTGATTACGCACTTTACAGAGAGCATCAGTGATCATGTTTCCAAGGTCACGAGGCTAAGCAAGGGTAGGACCCAGAGTCTCGTTGCCTGATCACCTCATTACAGTCCAAGGCAGTGGCCTTGACCTGCATCCAAGCACCCACGGGTGGGTTAGTCATCTAAAAGACTGCCCATGGTGTTGATATTCTTGCCACTGCTGCACACTTCTCCGCACCTGTCATGTCAGGTGGTGGTTCTCAGCCTCCGCTGCACATCAGAAGCACATGGCGGGGCCCAGGCAGCCTCAGTTTGCAAGCCTCCCAGGTGATCCTGGCATCAGTGGGGTGAGCATCCATCCCGGGGACCTCTTTAAAAAGGAAGGTTAACACTCTGGACGTAGGAGAAGTGGGCACCCTAATGCAGATGGGGTTAATAATGATCGGTTTTCTGGAAGGCGTTTCTGCCATGCTTGATTATACTTTATTATGCTTTTAATCCTTTTCTTTTATGAAACTTTATTTTTCCTAAAGGCAAGAAAAGGAAATACTAGAATGTATCACGTCTTTTTTTTTATGCCAGCAAGAGCGTACTTGCTTAACTTGCTCATTTTTCCACACATAGAACTGTAAGTTTTAGACTTTAAGAACTCCAACATTGGTCGTCTTCTTTCTTTTGAAAGAAGTCAAAAAGATGCTTTCTTTCTCTTCAACTTTTTAACTGTCTAGTAGCTTTCCTTCTTTTCTGAGGTAGCCTCAGTTGACGTCCTGGACAATGTCAAGTGGAACCCAGAGTAACTCCTTTATAGACTGGGGAGGGGCGTGAGTCTTCGCCCCCCGCCACAGAGCTGCCGCCACACTGCAGACCTTGGTATTGTCGAGTCCCTTTGTTAAGCTAGGAGTTTTCTGTTTCTTTGGAGATTACTAGACTCTTCCATGTTCCAAGGGATCTTCCAAAAATATGTTGACTTATTCACAAAACACGTCCTGATTGCCGAGTGTAAGGTTACCTGCTCTTTGCATGTTTACCTTTTCCTCACATCAGCCCTGGAAATCAGGCATCACTTATTTCCTTTTTACAAATGAGAAAACTCAGGCTCAGAGAAGTTAACACATCCAGCATCACAAAGCTCTGGCATCAAAAACCCAAGTTTTGGAGCTTGTTCTGGCTGTTCCAAGGTCATCGCTCTGCCCGTGGTCACACTTCTCATGTGGACAGCAGAGGCATCAGAACAGGGACTTGCCCAGCCTTGTGCTCTGAGCTGTGCTCCAAGGGAGCCACCTGGTTCCGGAAGGAAAGCCAGGGCCCCAAGGGGATACGTTTGTCAGCAGCATTGAAACGAATAAGATCATTCATTGCTGTCCTTCCTCCTTTAGAGCCATGTACTGTTCAGTTCAATTCCGATTCTGCGTAACAGTCTGAAAAGGGTTTTGTGGAGAGAGGCAAGTTTCTTCCTGAACTTCATCCTGTGAGGAAAGTACTAAGGGTTTATGTACCTAACGTTGGATTCCCCGTGTGCCACCCCCACCCCCAGTCAGGGGTACCTGTCCATGTGCTTCTGGGCACTTTGGGTAGAATGTTTTAGAAACACACTAGCCTTTGCGAAGGCTCCATATGCAAAAGGAGCAGATGCCATTTGCGAGCGCAGACTCTGCCACCAGGCGGGGCGCTTTGCCTACATTATCCGGTTTGTTTTTCCTAATTACCTGTTAAATTTGAAGGCATCAAAGCCTGTTTCCTTGCCTGGCAGTGGACAGAGAAATTACTTGCTTAAGTAAGCAGCAAAGGGACAGGTTCGGAGTTTGGACTACAAACCTTGGACTTCATCCCCGTTGTTCTTCATGGGCACACACAGCTGCAGCCCAGCCGCTGCAGCAAATGAGGCAGAAGCCGCAGTGAAAGGCTTTCTGGGAAGAGCTTCCTAAATTTGCTTCTCTGTCCAAAAAGAATGCAGTCGGCCACACATACTGACTTTGGTAGGCATCTCTCACAAACAGAAGTGCATGTGGTGATGCATGTACCGGGCACAGGATGCTATTGGCCAGCTGCCTTTCACATGGACTTGGAGCATGGAAACCCATTGGTTTGCTACATGGGCATTGCATAGTTCACTGGGCTTGGAGAAAAGGTAATTTAGTAACGAGCTTCGGTGCATCTTCTCCGTGTCGTTCTGAGCACCTGCCAGCCACTGTGCCAGCCAGGCAGGTGGGCAGTTTTGCCCCAGAGGTAGATTACCTTTTAGGCTGTACAACCAAGGAAATAGAATTAAAATTATGAAATGAGATGCAGTGTATGTTCTGGAGAGAGCAATTGCCAGGCAGCTAAGAAGCCTGTTAGTTCGCCCGTTTGACTGTTTTTGTGATTGGCATCATTCCTTCTCTTTTTTACTAAAAAAATGGAAAATATTTTGAACAATTTATGGTGCATGCGTAACTTAGAGCTAGGCACTTTCAGCCACATTATCACAGGTAATCCTCAGGACAACCCTGCAAGGCACAGGTGCCATTGATGCCTCTGACAGCAGCGGAAGGGGACAGTTTGCCCCCATTGCCCGGGGAGCAGTGGGGTTGGGCTGTAAAGCCCTGTAATCTGACTCTGGACTCTGTAGCTTTAGACGCCATTGGACTGATTTTCTTCTAATTCTGCCAACATTGGACGTTTTCAGTATTGAGAAGTCAGATGCTTCCTTTTTAATAAGAACTTACACGTCCAGTTCTCAAAGTTGTATTTCTCTCCACAAGTTCCCATGATAAATCGTTACAAGACCAGGGCAGGCAAACGCAGTCAGAAGGGAGAGAAAGCCACCAGCAGCGATTGCTGCACTCGGGCCTCCCCCCAGGAAGACAGGACAGCCTGTGGGCAGCGTTTGGGACGCACACCCTGTGTGTGGCAGTTGTCAGGCTGAGGGCGCAGGTGACTGCACTGAAGAGCTCACTCTGTGTGTGCCGTTCCAGAACAGGCAACTTACTGCGCGCGGCCATCTTCATGTGTTAAAGTTAATAATACTGGGTGTTTCCTGTGTTTTTCAGAGCCCTCCTGCCCTATTTAAAAGAATGTCAGATTCTAGTCCTAGGAGGTAGATGCAGGGGCTTTGCGTCCACAGTGCTGTGAGTCTGGAGGGCAGATGAAGTGGTGGTGACAGTCATTTATCGGGTGCCTTCTCCATGTCAGGCACACGCGGGCACAGCCCTTCATCTGCAGTGTGTTGTAGAATCCCCAGCCTTCAGCCTGTGGGGCAGTAGGTTTGCCAGGAAGACCCAGCTGGTTGTACTTGAATGTGAACCAGATAGAGGAAGTTGGTGGAGGGATCGGGGGACAAAGGGGACATTGCCCAGGTCTGCTGTGGCCTCAGGTGCTGTCCTCTTGGTCCATTTACCTTTGACTTGGGGTGTTACATCTGAGATCTCACCTCTGCTTGACTAGCCACACAAGTTACAAAGAGCAAAGAGAATGTGTCGTCTTGTTTTAAGGAAGCCTGACATCTGTTTCAGCTGGACTAAGGGAAATGTCAGTGTAGAAACATGGAATTACTTCGAGAATGGTTCGGTGGTCAGGAAGCTACTTTCTCCCAGGCGATGTAATACAGTCGTGACCTAGATGTCTGGCCTTCCCCATGAACTGTGTTTGCTGGTCACAGCTGCAAGCTGCGCATTGGCCCCCGTCCCCGTGGACTTCTAATTCCACATCACTGCTGAGGGGATTTTGCAAAAGTGCCTCCAAGGGGACTGCGTGCCTCGGGCTCTCTGGGCGGCATGGTTCACTGTCCAGGGGCCCTCCTCCTCGGCACGTTCTGCCTGCCTTGCTGAGGTACCCGGTCATATCGTCCAGTAGCTCAGGATGGTAAGTCTTCAGTTTTAGGAGGAGTGGCAGCCCACGTTCTAAAAGGCTCAGGGGGGGAAGATGGCAGAACTGTCTGTGACTTTTGAAGACTTGGAGGCCAGAAACGGCGCTAGGAAGCCGGCCGTGCCCAAGTGGAATCCTGGTCCAGACGATGCTCCCAGCAGAGCACCTCGTGGCGTGGTTTGTTTGAGTTTCTTAGGGCTGACAGCTAACACATCAGGTGTTGGTTGGAAGAGCTGGGGAGCCAGCCATGCCGGGCAGCCTGTGACTGTTGCCTGTCCCGTTTTCTTCCCCCCCGCACCCCCCCGGAACTGGTAGCATTGGGAGGCTGGTCCGTGAGAGGTGTGCAGGTCTGTGAGCGACATTGGGAACTGAGGACCGGGTGGGGGGAGGTGTGCAGGGAGCAGCCACTCTGTCCAGAGAGACTGGGTTGTTTGCAGCTCCAGAGGGCGGTTTCGTTTTTCATGCAGGGTCAGCTCCTCACCATGAGAACTGTGGCAAAATGCGCTGCCCAGAGACAGAAGGAGTTTTATTTGTGGCTGCATGGCAGCTGGTGCAGATGTTTTAAAGGGCTCTGATGGTGCTGGAAGTTGCAACCAGCGACTTCTCGTGCTCTCATCAGACTAACACAGTGTGCGTTTACTGCCCACAGGTGTCCCCTCCCTCCCACCTCCACCACCACGGGGTGGGGGGGAGCCCCGCCCCACCTGGGATTGACGTTCACTAGCTAAGGGTTGGAGCCCAGGAACAGCTGTGTTAGCTGTGTTCCTGAGGCACGTCCAGATTCAGGAATCCCTGGACCGGTCCCCTTTCAGCCCTTCCATTCCTGGGGCCTGTGGCTCCGTTGGGCTCTGGCTGCAGCCATGGTGTGCCCTGTTGAGGCAGGGTGAAGACGCTGAAGGGAACTGTCGATGTTAGTGGAATTCTTAGATGACAGGAAGTGTGTGATTTCAGGGACCAGCAGCATCAGACTGGGCTTGGAAGTAACCTAGGTGAGCGTAGACCAGCAGGCGGGGGAGGGGGAAGTCCCCGCAGTGCTCTGCTCCCTCCGCTCCGCCAGCTGATGACATCTGGAATGTTAAATTGTGTCGCCTTCTAGGGGCTGCTCCGGAAGTTCTGCCTGCTGTGTGTAGCAGGAGTGCAGAGGAGAACAGAAGTCCTGGTCTTGGACTGCGCTTACCAGTTCGCCAGTAAGTGTGTCCCGCCCTACAAGGCATGTTTGAGCTCGGAGGGGGCAGACAGCAGCCGCCAGGCCGCCATGCACTTGACCGGTCCTGTTACTTGCACACTGGCGGTGGTGCTCTTCGGAGGGAGTCCCTGCATGCCCTTGGGCTCCATGGCCAGTGAGAACGGCTGCTCAGAGGAGATAACTATTGTTTGCAAAAGCAACAGAGGGGAAGATGACACTCTAAGAACAATCAAGCTTTGTGTCCATTGTGGTACGTTCTTAGGAAGTTTTCCAAAAATGCTTGAGAAGGGCAGATTTTAATGCGAGGTCTGGACCTGCCTCAATTGTTTCTCTCGACCCTGTAGAGCAACCTGCTCCCTCAGACCAGCTTTCCAGTCTCTTCTATGGCTCCTGGCCAGCCAGTGTGCCCCAAGGAAGCCGCCAGCCTTCCCGCAGTGCTGTCCTCGCGCAGCCGACACTGTGCACCCCGGGGGGGGGGGGGGAGCTCTGCGCACCTGGATGAGCCCAGGGAACCTCAGAGGCGCCCCTGTGTGCTCCACCTCTGCGGTGGGAGTGGTGGGCAGCTCTCCCCAGTTCTCCTTGCCAGGTGAAAACATTGAAGCTCAGAAGGTTTAAGTGAATTTTTAAGGTCATTAAAAAAAGGCTTTGAACACATCCCAAACCGCACTGGTTTGTGCATAGTGCTAGTTGTGAATTCTGGGGGAAGAAAGTGTCCTTACTGGTACTTAATAATAATTAACTACTGTATTTTGCTGTGTATGATTGCGCCCACATTTTTGTGCACATTATGGACAGATTATACCCATTATTGTACCCATGCTATGTAATCATTATACCCATGTATAATGCACATCTGTATTTTTCCCTCAAAACTGGAGGCAAAAAAGTGCGCATTTTACATGGCAAACTACAGACTTTCTATGTGCACTACTCGCTGTGTTACTGGTGGCACTCACCCCATCAAAATAGCTCTGCCTCCACCGCCACCGTCGGGGCCACTTCCCATCCCTCAGGTCTCTCCGCTGCCGTTGTTTCTCCCCCAGCCGCTGGAGGCTGGCACTAGCATCTGCTGCCCCCATCCCGTCCCGCGGCTGCTGCAGCCACTCCCTGGCTCTTTCTCACGGAGAGGAGAGGCCGAGTCCCAGGACCCCGTGTTGTAGGTCCTGCCTCGGCCAGCCCCCAGTCCCTGGTTCTCTGCCATTCACACCTCGCTCCCCCGCCTGGCTCCTTCCCGTCCCTCTGCTGCTCCAGGCCCCGTTCCACAGACCTTTGCTCCTCCTGCCTGACACTCCTTCCCCCAAACTACCACGTGCTCGCTCCCCGGCTGCTCTGGGGTCTCTGCTCAGAGTCCCGCCTATCTGGAGGCCTTCGCTGGCTGTCCTCGCCTCCACGCCCAGCCCTGCAGCTTTATCACAGAGTTACTCCCTACCCCTGCCATCTGTTGTGGTATTTTGTTCCCAGATATATAACCTACCCACTCCCCGCCGTGTACCCTCACGGGCATAGGGACTAGTTTGCTTTGCTCACTCCCCTGCAGCCTTAGAACAGTGCCCGGCCTACGACAGAGATGTCGAGGGAGGAAGACGTGTCCACCCCACACTGTCGGTGTTGACCCACCGCTTGAGAGCGAACGGAGTGTGCGTGACCATAGCAAGTGCAGTGCCGGGGTCCACACTGGGCGTCGGCTGTGCTGCAGAGACAGTCGGACTCTTGTTCCGGGGCCCTGGCTGCTCCGCTGGGCAACTCGAATGTGTGAGAGCGGAAACAATGTGTGGCACTAGCTGCTAGTGAGGCGAGCGTGAAAGTACACCTGTGACTCCGCTAGGACCCACTCGGTGACATTTAAAAATAACCGTCCCTGACAGAGGCTGTTTGAATGATGGCTGTGACTTCCTTATTGCCGTTGATGTTCAAAGCTGGTCTAAATTGACGAGTTTGAAGCTAGTTTCAGTTTGTTTCTTATTTGCCAGCTCGGTTGTGTTATGTGTTACTCACATGCGTCTAAGGTACTATGTCAAGATACAGCATAAATCCCCAAGGTCATTTACAGAGTAAGTTTGGAAATAGCTCGGCTAACCCTTTTGTTCATACGTTCATCACGCTCTCTGATTTCTTTTCTCCCCTTTAGGGTGGCCTGGAATGCCAGAGACTCGGACACAGTCATGTTTCAGGGCCACGCACCTGCATGGTGGTATTTAAAAACAGATAACTAAGTATGCTTCCGGGAAGTAACCACATGTCCGCCAGCCACTGTTTGTTGAAGGGTGCCTCTGAAGGATTCTATCATGCCAAGTCTTTCTGGATCTCAGCGGACTCTGTTAAGAAATGCAAATAAAGAAGATGAAGGATATTGGACAGCAGTTGTTCAGTTCACAAGTGAATGATGGACACAGTTCTTTGACCATGTCGCCTAGACAGCCTAACGCTAATAGAGCCACTCGGCCAGACAGACAGGAAGCCCAGTCACCTCTGTACCAGGGCTCGGAGGCGGAGGCCGCCCTGCTGGCCACCGCCACGTGTGCCAAGTGCAAGAGTGTTCACCAGATCCCTCCCCAGGATCTGAGGAAGGGGCCCGGGCAGGGCCCAAAGGAAGACAGATATGTCTGCTTCCAGTGCAGCCTCGGGGTGGCTTCGCCCCACCTGCCTTTTGGAAGCAGTAATCCCAGTGCTGCTCATCTTGGAAATAAAGCCGAAACCATCGCAAGCCCCAGCAATAACAAGTTCAAGGTAAGGAACTTTAAACCAGGCAAGTACTATTGTGATAAATGTCGCTTTTCCACAAAGGATCCTCTGCAGTACAGGAAGCACACACTTCAACACGAAGAGATCAAGTTCATTTGCTCTCACTGCAGCCACATCTCCTACACGAAGGGGGAGTTTCAGAGGCACCTGGTGAAACACACAGGCATCTTCCCATACCGGTGTGAGTACTGCGATTACGGTGCTATTCGAAATGACTACATCGTCAAACACAGGAAGAGGGTTCACGAGAAGGCTGGCGGGAAACGGCCGCCCAAAGCTGTCACCAGGCCAGAGCCAAAAAGGACCAGCATGTCGAGACAAAGTGCAGAGCTTTCAAAAGCCTCTGATCCAGGCTCCACACTACAGAGCAAGTTGTCCGATCAACTTTCAAGGTTCTCCTTACAGACTAACAAGGACAAAATGCACAGCATCACGTTGGTACCCGAATTGAAAGAATACCAGAAAGATGTGGTGTGTGTCCCCAATAAGGGGCCCCTGCCAGAGCCCAGTGAAGTCGGGGTGTTGGAGAACAGAAGTGTGGAAGTGGAAGTGCTCTCCCCGGCCACAGAGCCTGTTCAGCCCGGAATGCCGCTGACCGTGGTGGCACCAGCGGAGCTCGTCGTCCCTGCCAACTGTTTAGCTCAGCTGGTGGATGTGAAGGTTGTCAATGGAACACAACAGCTTGTTCTGAAACTGTTTCCTCTGGAAGAAAATAACCGCCTAGAGGCTGGTGGGAGTGTTAGAGGTCATTCTGGGCGTACGAGTAAAGAGAAGGGTTCAGATGGACGAGAAAAAACGGCTTCTGCAGAACAAACCAAGTCCCTGATGATCGAAGGGAAAGTTGGAGAACTCGGAGGCCTGGATAACCTCCGGTCAGTTCAGAAGCAAGTTAAAAATGTGAAATGGATAAGGTCTTACGATATGTTCATGTCCAATTCTAGTGTGTACAGCTGTGCGGAGTCCCTTCTCAACTCGGCTAGAGCTGGGGACTTGCAGAAAAGAAGCCCTATGTACCCTCACAGAACTGCCCTTCCTCCCGCTGCCCTGAAAGACCACTCTCCGTTATCTATAGTGAAAAACAGTGTTTTGCGTAGTCTCGGCACTACATCACATCCTTTCCCCTACAAAGCTGCTGTTCCTTTTACAGACGGCAGGAAACGCTTGCACAGTGACCCACGACAGTGTTTTCCTCTCACGGCATCACCTACTACCATCTCCTTCTCTGGAGAAAACGGCTTTCTGCCCATGAGTAAAAATGACTTGGAACCTAGACGTGAGATCAGTATACCTGTAAGAATGGTTCCATCTGCTAGGAAGCTGAAGGACAGCCAGACAGAGGACTACAAAGCAGTTTCAAACACAGGCCAGATTTCCTCTCAATATAGGAGTGAGTATTTACACATAAACATAACAGGAGAAGATAGAACCAGATCTCAACAGCCTGGGGAGGAGCCTTTGGTGTTGAAGAATTCTGAAAGAACTAATGACCCTTTTGACGGTCCAGTCATCTCATCGGTGTTTTCCCTGAGCTCTGGATCTGAAGACGTCCCGGAGAGTGTTAAGTGGAATAGTTCAACTTCCAAAATAAAGTCAATTGAACTCTTGCGCAGAAAGATTGCTCAGTTAATTGAATCCTGTGGCAAGCCTTCATCTCTGGCTGCAAGTAATGCACAACGTCGTTCTGTAGGGCAGGCAACAAAGGGAACTTCGAAAGCTACCCCTGAAGAAATTAATGTGCCATTTACTGGTAGTGGCTATTCTGCAGGTACTCTCTCAAAACCTCGGGATGATGGTGGTATTAGTGGGCGACAAATATATCCACCATTTGTAGAAGGCAGCAATGGGAAAACCGAAAGCCGAATAACCAGGAAGGCTCCTGCTGCTACTCCAGTGTTGATCCCCAAAGGGGCAGTGTTGAGGGTTCTCAATTCCTCCAAGGATGCCCACATTATAGAGGCCACGTGTGAAGCTCCTGTCAGCATCCCTTGCAGTGAGACCCAGTTAATAAAACCCATCCCGCTCTGCCCAGTGAAACCAGTAGACTTGGACTTACAGGCTTCGACAAGTGAGAGCAGGCCAATAGACATGTCTCATAGCCTTGACCCATCACTTCGGCCTAAACCAAGAAAAGAGAGTGCTGTTTATAGTGCTACCCTGAAAAAAATTGGCCCCGTGCACAGTCAGCAAGGAAGCAGTGAATTGAGTAAGCAAGGGAAAGTGCTTTCTAGACGTCTTCCAATAAATAAAAATAAAGCCAAGCATGTCAATCCCTCCAAGAAGAAAAGCAAAATTCAGGCTGATCCCAGCCACTGTCTCAAGGAGCCTTCGATTTTTCAGGTTGCAAGACAGCTTCGACTGATAGCAGCCAAGCCGGACCAGTTGATTAAATGCCCCCGTCGGAACCAGCCTGTCATCGTGTTAAACCATCCTGATGTCGACTCACCGGAAGTGACCAATGTGATGAAGGTAATAAACAAGTACAAAGGCAATGTCCTCAAAGTCGTCCTGTCGGAGAGGACCAGGTGTCAGCTGGGCATCAGGCGGCATCACGTCCGGCTGACCTACCAGAACATGGAGGAGGCCAATCAGATAAAAAGACAAATGATGCTGAAAATGAAACTGAAAAAAGTCCACAAAAACAACTACCAGGTGGTGGATTCCTTGCCCGATGACTCGCAGTGCACATTCAAGTGCTGGTTTTGTGGACGGCTCTACGAAGACCAGGAGGAGTGGATGAGTCACGGCCAACGGCATTTGATAGAAGCAACTAGAGATTGGGATGTTCTTTATTCCAAGGGCAAATAAGGGAAAAGTTGGTGTTTGAAGCAAATTGTTTTTCTTTTAGTTTATTCTGGTTAGGGTTGGGTGTTGTTTTGTTTCGTTTTGGTTTTTTTCTCTCATCCTTGACTCAGTAGGAGAAACACAGGTTGTGGGAATGTGAGCATCGTTCGTTCTTCAGATCCCTGCTTAGGGGTGTTGAGAACCAGGAGTCGGGCTCAGCCAGATACGTGACCGGAACTTGGAAGGTGTTTGAAGCCTCTGCAGGTGTACGCACAAGTATGTGGACATACTTTTTCCTGGAGAGAAGGGAAACTTTCAGCAGATTTCCATGGGATCTGAGATTTCTTTGTTTGGCACCCTTTTCCTAAGTAGATGCAAAGCTCTCGTGACCCATTTGGGGCTGAGCTGAGAGTGTTTTACGTGCCCTTGTAACAGAAGCTACTGATGAATTAAACCCATGTCTGGTGTGCACACACATACCCCCCTTTTTTGCCATAATTTGTCTGAATATTTGGTACTTAATAGAAATTATATTTTCTACAGTTGTTTTAAATTTGGTGACAAAGTGGCCATTTTTTAAAAATCCCTCATCCCTCTAGGATCCTTGATAAGTGTTCTTTGTAGCAGAGAGAACTGTGCATTTTCAAAAAATGTTTGAGAGTCATTGTAAGGGTTTGCCTGAATTTGCTGTTTCAACAGCAAGTGTTAGGGAAGAAAAATCATTTTCAAGCTTTTGCATTCTTTTTAAGTACAGTTTTTCAGTTTGTGATGATTGGAGCGGGAACGTGCCTTTTTGCAAAACAGAAAGGGTCACGGAGGGAAAGTGTCTGAAGTCGTCTCCTGTCCGCCCTTGGCCCTCTCGCAAAAGCAGCCAATTAAAAATGGGAACCAACAGGCTTCTTACCACAGCGATTAGACCTGGGAAGGTAACTCGAGGTTGGCATGCAGAGACCGTTTGGCGTCAATGCGGCAGAGCTGTCCTTTGGAGACCGTCCGCAGACAGGGCTGAAGACCGCGTGCCGGCCAGCGCTGCAGACGCTGCCCCCAGGCTGTGCTGCCTTTCTGAACGGGCCCACCTGTGGGACAGAATCACTCCCCACTCCCCTCCCCTCCTGTCCCTTTTTTCCTTGTGCCTTTGAGGCCCATAAAGCTTTCCCTCGGAAAAATAACTAAAAACTGCCAGGAATCCACTAAATGGAAACATGCCACCACCTCTGCTGTGGTTACAGGAACACTGTCCCAGGTTTTCACCAACCACAACAGTCCCCTTCTAGTTGACCTTAGCCACAGTCACACTGTCTCCGTTGCTCAATTTTCCTAGGAAGCAACTCCCAAGAACATTCCTGCTCCCTCTGTCCCATCAGATGTCAGGACCCATGCTGAGCAGCACTCACAGCACCTTCGTGTGCGTCAGGAACAGCCCACCCCTTGCACCGTGGGGCCTCTTGGGCAGACAGTCGGTGGGCAGGTGGGGCTCAGACTGCAGCTGGGCTCCAGCTGCCCTGCAGAACGACACTGGCTGAGCCACAAGGAGCCCAGCGCCTGAGTGCTCCTCACCGCAAGCACCTCCATCAGGGCCGTGCTGGCGAAATGAGCGCAGCTGGGGACTCGCGCCTGGGTGATGTTTGTGTGGCTCTGGGGAGTCGGAGACTGTTTTCCCCCATGTGGGAAAGTCTTCGATTACCCTCTTGTAGGTGGGATTGCAGTTGTTCTTGGTGATCATTTCTTATTACAGGCAGTTAGTATGTCTTGTGTGATTCAGGACATCATTGAGTTGATTGGTTGCTTTTTTGTTGAAATTTGGATTTTTATATGTGTATATATGTGTATGTACACATACCAATATTTTTTACCATATGAGAACTGTAGTAGCTAATTTTCTGATTTCCTATTTTATAATGAAATTAGATGGGTTAGAAAATATAAAACATTTTGTATTCTAGAAATAATTTATTTTGGGAGTACCTTTTTATAATAGTCTGGTCTCACTTTTAGAAAATGGAAGCACAGTGAATGTGGGTCTGATCTGTAGGGACGAGCGGGAGTGGACACCCCGCAATCCCGGTCCTGGCAGTATCCGGTCCCCGGCATTTCCGGTCGGTGCTCTTTGGGAAATGGAACTGTGGGCAACTCCACTACACAAAGGAGGCCGTTCTGTGCCCCTCCAGCATGAGAGGGGCCTCCAGAGACAGTACAAGGAGGAGAAGAAAAGGCGGTGACTTATTTTTCCCCTCCTATACCTCACTACTTAGTAGCATCTCTTCTGAAAGCTTCCGCTACAGCCCATCAGGAGAGAGGACCTCAACAGGTCAGAGTGTTCAGTGTCGACGTGAAATACTCACACTTGGCAGCATCAACTCCTTTTCAAGTATTACCTACAGCAGTCAGTGTACTTGTACAGAGCTAACTTTCGTGGGTAGGATGTGTAGCTCAGCTTTGGGGGGGGTGGGGTTTCCGAGTGACCAGTACTTGTAAGGAATTAAGAGGGCCCCTGGGAGGCACAAAAAGAGAGAGCAGACAGTGGCCGTCTCCCCTGGGGAACAGACGTTAGGAAGTGGCTTGTTGACATGCAGCTAAGTGTCCTGAAGTGAGTCGCGGCAGCGTCTCTGACAGTCGGAGAAGGTAGCAGAACTGTGTTGAGTATTTGTACTCGTTGCAATGATTTCGAAGGACCTGTGTTCACTAAATGGTATTAATTGCACTTACTAATGAAAACATGTTATGCTTATTTTTTTAAAGTAGATTTTCTTTGGGGGAGCAGAAATGAGATGCTCTTGTTATATTTATGATATGACAAAGAGTGAAAGTTTTTAAAAAATAACTAGTAGGTTATACTTCACTCACATTGTGATCTGCAGCCCCAAACAGTGTTGTGAAGCCCTCTGCCGAGCCGAGTGCTGTGGAAGGAAACCCGTGTGTGAGCCCCCGAAAGCCCCGCCCCCCTGCTCTGGGACGAGCCGCCGAAGCCATCGTCCCGGAGAGTGAGCGTGTAATGCTGCTCGGCCTTTCAGATGATATTTGAATCTGTCCGTGTCAACGTGAGCAAAAACTGAAACATTTCATAACTGTTCTAAGCGTTATTAGAGATCCTGTGTTAACAGTTTGTGTGCCCGCTGCTCTGTTTTGGAAACACATTTATATAGAGAAGCTGGAGTAAATTTTGTTAAATAAAGCGACTGTCAAATGGTCTCTACCTTTTCATTTCTAATGTCAAGCGGTGTGGCTGTTTGGTGCATTTCAGAACCACGTAAAGTCCAGCTGGCGTCACTGGGTGTGCGGGGGCCTTGCCTTTCCTGGGGCCTGTCACGAACGTGATGCCCTGTGGGTTGACCCTGAGACCAGGCCAGTGCAGTGTCGGTCTGTTCCGGTGGAACTCCACGAGGTGCTGGCTTGGACCAGTTTGCAGTTTGCCCAGCTGTGTCTGTAGCCTCATCAGCCAAGTCTGGGGCACTGCCTGCGCAGCTCCACCGGGAGGGACCTGCTGGGCCACAAGGGTAGCTTCACCGTGGACGCCAACAGCACCTGAACGCAGCCGGCCCACACGTGCGGGAGGGTGGGTGTGAGGATGTTTGCAGAGGCCTTAAGGAGTCAAAAAGGGAGGAGAGATTGGGACTTGAGGTGACCATCGGCAGACTCCTGGGGAAAACAGTTGGGAGTTGCTTAAAAACAGCGGTTTGGCTGATTGTCACCTACGTTGAAATGAGTCGTCCTCTAATCCTACAGATGGAGTCTAATAAATTGTCACCTCTGGCTATTTAAGGAGGAGTAGGGGTCAAATGTGGCAGGAAAGGCCTGAATGGGCTTTGTATCAGGCATGGGCCACCAAGGAGGCTACAGTGGGACTAGGAGAGGACTGGGGCAGAAATTAACTTCAAGGCCATAAAGGTAGCAAGGGGCAGCCACTGATCCGCCTTTCATCACCAAGAAAACAGGTCAGTGGTGCCCAATTCCCTGGGTGTACGTGCTGAAGCCTGCAGAAGCACCGTGGTACCCCCCACACCTGTAATACGTACGGTTTTGCGACATAGCCCTTGGCCACAGGCTGCAGTCGGGGCAGGGACTGACTGCCTTAAGGCACCAGCGTGTATGAGACGCTGGTTGGGATGAGAGCTGCGCTAAGGGGCGCGGGCCGGTCTGGAGCAGAGCTATTCAATCGAAATGCATTGTGGGCCACATGCGTGATCATGGCTTTTGAGCAGCTACATTTGAAAGAGTGAAGAGGGCAGCTAAAGTTAAACATATTTGACCCTATACATCTAAAGTGTTACTTGAACTTTTTAATCAACATAAAATTAAAATATTTTATGTGTACACAAATCAATACGGTGTTTACTAAAGATACTCTATACATTTTTTTTAAGCCTTCAGACCAGCAAGATGACAGCTAGTGTGGACAGGAGAGGAGAGTGGACAGATTGAGGAAAAGGGAAAAGGACTCCTGGACAGCAGTGGTGATTGTAGGGGGGAGGGTGTAAGGGGACTAAATGGTAACAGAAGAGAGTACAATGAAGATTGTGTTCAAAAAACTCAGTTTTTCAGTAACCCTAGCCTCATCTCAAAGTCTAGTGGCTACCGTGTGAGACAGCAATGACAAGGGGGACATGCTGCATTGTGGACGTTACTGTCCGAGCTCCTCGATTGGAAGGAGGCGTGTTGATTTGGGAAACTCAGAAACTTGGGTGGGCTGGGTCCCATTAACTGCCGCCGGGGAACTGCCGGTTCTGTGCCAGGCTGTGTGTTCGTGTCCCGCGGTTCTATTTTTAGGTCTATACCTTAGAGAGTTGTTACACCTGTGACTTTGAGGTTCTTTCTTTCCCAGCCCTAGTTGGTCAGCCCTACAAATGTTTCTCATGCACACCGAAAGCCCACAGTCTGGCAGGAACTCCTCATCTGACGGTGGGGGTGGGCCTCATCTTGTCGCTGAACCATCGGAACCACCCGCACTTGGTCACCATAGCAGGGAAAGAGCAAGAAGCGAGGGACACAGGGAACACTTCCTACAGCCTCCTTCCAGAACAGGTCACAGACCCAAGGGGCTCTGCAGCGCCGCCTGCGTGTGCAGGACAAAAGGGCAGTGAATCGGCCACCAGGGGCCTCGGACCCTCTGGCCCCCACCTGGGCTGTTAGTGGCAGTTGCCGTGTGGAGGGCAGCTGGCCAACCTCCCTGTTGGGAAACGACAGTCGGCCCAGAGCTGGTGACGACGCGGAGAAGCAGGAACTTCGATGCGCTGGGGCCACGGCGAGACTGGGTGCGGCGGTGCATCGCCCCGCTCTGGTTTCCCTGACCCCCAGGCACGGCCCTGTGCTTCTGCACGTGTTGAATGGACATTTTCCTCTTCTGTGCACAGCCTGCCGGTATTTTGCCCATTTTACTATTGAAGTATGTACTTTAAAAAGAAAATATAGTCATTTCAAAAATCCGTAAGGAAAAAAGTTTTCCTTTAGGTTTGAGGCTTATGCTTTTTCTTTTATTTTCATTTTTAGAGAGGGGAAGGGAGGTAGAAAGGGAGAGAAACATCAATGTGTGATTCTCGCATGCTCCCTACTGGGGACCTGGTCCACAGCCCAGGCATGTGCCCTGATTGGGATTGAACCAGTGACCCTGTGGCTCACAGGCCGGCACTCGGTCCACGGAACCACACCAGCCAGAGCCATTGTGCTTTATTTTAGAAGTCCATTCCTACCTTTGGGTCGCAGAGATAGTCTTTGTTAAAAATGAACTTCCATAGACCAGTGGACACCATAATAAGTTACAAGCTGTCAGTTACAGGCATCAGAATCTATCTCAAAAGGATCTCAGACTAAATTCTTTAATATAGAAAATGCCTAAAGCAGATTAGGTTCATATCCTCACTAAAGTCAGTCACAAGTGGATTAGTCACTCCGTTGTCCGAACACCCGTTTTGGAGAGACCCAGGCTCTGCTCCCTGGTTCCAGGGTGCGGCAGGTCTGTGTGGGTTCATGGCCGAGTCCTGGGGCTGCTGCATTGCCCTGCTTATTGGGATTCTCCTTCCAAGTGGACCCTAAGAGGCAGTTTGCCATTGGCAGAGGTGCCTGTAAAGCAGGGAGACTTTCCCTAGCAGGAATTTTAAAGCTACAGTAATGCTCTTGGCTCTTCCAGATGCATCTTTAAACCAGCTTGTTGATCCCCGTTGAGATTTTGACTGCAAGAGCATTTAACTCACAGATGCACTTGAAAAAGACTGGCGTCCAGGGGAACACGTTAGTACTGTTTAGGCCAGCAATTGGTTTGGAAATAGAACAGAAATAAAGTGTTAGACCAAGCATGTTTTACCATTTATCCCTTTTTTGGGGAAAAGATCTCATTCATAGTAACAATAAAAACTGTAGGTTGCATGATCGATCAACGCCGTGAAGAAGGAAGAACTTGAGACCATATAATTTGCAAATAGACAGTTCAGCAAATTGCCAAGTGCAAATGCAGTGTTTTAAAAATCAGTTGAATTCATAAACATTGGCAATGGAAATAGCTCTAAGAAGAATGCTCCTACCACCTCTTTAGCAGTTTAGTAAAAGTCCTAACCAATGAAATATGAAATTAAAAATAAAAATAGGCATTCTTGTATTTTCTATGGAAGAAAAGATTATCATTTACAAGAAGTCAGTATTGGAAGAGACAAAAGTTCTTAGAGTTTCACCATTTCAACATCGTTTCTGCCATAGATTTTGTGAAGGTAGATTTTATCACCTTAAGGCAATTCCTTTGCATCCATAGCTGCTTAGATTTTTTTTCTTAACCACATTCATTACATTTATATAACAGAGTGACTTTTAAAAAACTAATGTAGCATATCACTCAAATAGATTTCTTACGTTTAATCTCATATGCTGGCGTAAACCTTACTTTGCCATGCTCTGTTTATATGTGTGTATGAGGGAGTTTGCAGACCTAATATTAGACTCTTAATGTAAGTGACATCACACTGTGATTTTCTCTTTTTAGCCCTGATACTGTTTCGCTAACAGCTCGCTGGGCTGTGGCGTGTTCAGGCCTCGCACTGGTGAAACAACACGGGGCTGGCACCTTCCGCAGAGGACGAGAAACTCGGGGAGGGGAGGGGAGGGGAGGGGCGGCTGGAAGGTCTCAAATACCAGTTTGATTTCTTTGGTTACTTTTTTTTCAGTTTTTAAAAAATCTATGTTCGTTGTGCTACATCATCTATTCTGCTTGACTCCTTTGCCCTAGAAAAATGTAGTCATGTCCTTTCGATGTTCACAGGCAGGTAGGACGATGCAGATGTTGCTCTGTGGGCACAGGCAACTCCATGTCCCCTGAGTCAATTAACAGAGGTGGCAGAGCGGTCACTTGAGTCGGGTGACTAATAAGGTTCGAAACATAAGATTTCACTCAGTTTGCGAGTGGAGCCCAGAGAACCTCCGAAAGCACAGGGTTCTTCATCTCGGCCACACTTGAAGACACACCTCTGTGTGGACCAGACAGACCAGAAAGCAGGTGGTGCTGGTCAGAGAATGAACCTGGACCACCCCGGCGGCTGGTTTCATGCCAGGCCCCCAGGTGTGTCTCAGGACACTGGTCATTTTTCACAGCCCCGGGGCTGGACATCACTGGGACTTGGCCCACGGGCAGGACTGTGGCGTGCCTGATCTGGACTGCATGGGGGTGCGCCCCCCTTTGGGGGGCCTGGGGCCCAGATAAAAAGCCCCTTGCACAAAGAACTGTCTGTTAGCCACAGTGAGCCCATACTAGTCAGGACAGTCTGCTAACAAAACTCAGACTTGTAGTGGTTCAAGTTCGGTGACGATTCCATACAGTGCTCCTGCTAACCTTACTTTGGGGGCCACGTCTCAGGTGGCTGAGTCCGTAACAGTAAAGAGAAGCCTGGAGAAGAAGGGTGGCTGGCTCTTAAATGGCCTCAGCTAGGAGGTGATACCTGCCACATCCCCAGCAGCCCCTTGGCTGGAATTATGAAGCTGTTGGGTTAGGAAATGGAGGGGAAGCACATGAACTATTGGGGAATCAACAACGTGCCACAATAACTGTATGACTCTGAGTGAGAGTCTCAGCCTCCCAGTGGCCCCAGTGCTCGGAGGATTGGCCTCAGTTTTACAGCATCAGCATATCGGGCATTTGTAGGAACTACAGAGTCTCGGGTCTGATGGTACATTTCTGGGTGGCTGTGTGCTCAGGGCAGCCTGAGCAGCACTGTCTAAACACTACT